AAGCTCACATGCTGTCAGGAGGGAAGTCAAGGAATTGATAATCGATCATTAGAGTAGCTATCGCGATCAGGTGCAAGACAGATGGCATCATCAACGCCATCACTAAGCAATTGCCTCGGTAGTTGAGAACGAAACGCCTACCGCAACTCGCTCATCTCTCTCTTCCTACTGTTTTTCTGCGGACTTGCTGGCGGATTTGGTAATCTTAACGTACTTTCCAGTATCGGGAAACGTCTTCTTCGGACTGATTACAGGGGCAGGATCTTTCTCCCACCAAGATGTGGAGGCAGCAATACCTCGCCGCCAGTACCGCACCTTCGCATCACCATCGATGCTGATATAGTACTCATCTCCTGAATCATCCGAGAAGACTCCATACATCCCGCCATCAACGTACGCCGTCACAACACCGGCAGGTCGTCTGAATATCTCTTTGGCGTTACTCTCGGTATTGTAAACAATTTTTGTTCCCTCTGAGATGTTGAGATACAACGCAGGCTCTTGATCAATCCAACCAATATCTTGAATGGAGACCATTCGACCGCCCGTGCCGCAGTCTTCGTCAATCTGAAAGTGTTGTACCATTTTGCCGCCAGGCCCATTGAGAACATCCCACACATAAACATCTTTGCCAGCGCAGAAAGCAAGCTGGGCCTTATGAGGATGCCACTGGAGAGATCGGCACCAGTCTGATAGCTTTATTGGGAATGTGGCGAGCTTCTTTCCATTAGACACATCATGTACCTGAACGATCTGACCACATTTGGAGCTCCAGGCAATGAAACGCGAGTCTGACGAGAATGCACCTGCCCAGCTTTGTTCTTTCGAGTTTCCGGCAGTCCACTCAAGCTCTCCCGTAAGGGCAGAGTACATGCGTAAACTACCATCCCACGATACCGATGCAATGTGGGCGCTGTCCGGGCTGATGGCAGACCACATGATGGCATCAGTGTGTTCAGCAAGACGATAGAGTTCGATGCCTTCATCCAAATCGTAGACGACCACCTGTGGTAGCTCTTCTGGCTCACGGGAACCTTGCTGAGTTGAGTTGTTGTTTGAATGGTATAGAAATATCCTGCCATCATTACTCATGGACACCGAACCAAAGCTTCCAAGTTGTGCGTCTTCAAAAATAGTATTGTGTCGCGTGCGATAGTCTGTGGCAACTTGATTCAGTGCCTCCGCAAACATGGTGTGTAGTGTGGAAGTATGGATAAAGTTTTGGGTCCATTCGTGGCGCTTTTCCAGTTCTGGAGCAATGGCATTGATTGCTTTTGTGGCAAGAGCGTTAGCGTCGATCCCCTCTTCTTTGTCAAGAATCCTCCCGTGTTGGTCCAAATCCCAGAGAATCAGCTGGTTGGATACTGATGCCTTGTTTCGTCCTGTGGTCGAGACGCTTGCAAGAGTATAACCAGCTGAGCCTGCAGCATATTTGTTGAAACTCTGGTCAGCAGTGCCAGTCTCTATTTTGGTGTTTACCGAAGGTCGAAAGTAGACTCCTCCACTTCCCTCGAGGGTCTCTCGTAGCTCTTGAGATGCAATGTCATAGACCAATATCTTCTCTGCGGATGTGCTGATGGCCAGCAACTTTTTATCGGAACTGATGGCCGTGTGATAGGATGCGTAGCTACCCTTATCGCTTTCGTTTATATGAACGCCGAAGTCAAGAACATTGTCCGCTTGCGTCCATTCTTTCGGATGGCAGGCGGCCAACTGAGCCGCTCCACCATCATTCTCGAAGTCATGTACTGCTTCAAGGGGGAAAAGATAGTCTTTTAAAAACGTCTCGCGTGAAAGGAAAGCCATGGCTCTGCACAAGGCTGTTTCTGGCTCTGTAGAAGATGAGGTTTGATGGTTTCGAACAGGATGGTTGCCTAGTGGAGGATAAGACTGATCACGTTGTGGTAGGATAGTACCAATCAGCATCTCTTCCACAATACAAAGCTAAGCACTCGACCGTTTAAGCAAACAAAGCTACCAATATAGACTTTTCAGCATGCAAACAGGCACAAGAAAATCTGCAAAGGAGGCAGATCGCTACGGAATCAATAGACTATATATGAGCTGAAACGAAACGTCAATCCCACCTATGCCGTGCGCCCGTCAATACCCCGCTGGTCCGAAAGACCAGAAGAGAGGAGGATGCGATGGCAGGGTAAAGACGCCAGATAGGCTCACAGCCTTGCAAACACGGGTCCGCAGCAGTTGCAAAGCAAATGGTAGACACCGGATCACAAAAGCCTTATTCTTGGGTGATGCCTTTGTCCAGCAGCTAATCTTCCAAAGATGGAGGGAAAACCCGAGCTGCTGAACCCACACACGAAGTCCGAAGACTACGAGTGTGTAACGCCCGATGTTGATTACAAGAAAGAGCTGCGTAGGTATTAGTGACGGCTGCAGTGCGATGGTGGCGCGATGATGAGCGTGGCACGCGAGCACGCGTCGCTGGCGGAACTAGATGACGGGTTCATATGCAGAGAGAACGCGTGTAATATGGGCACCATGGCGGAAACATATGCGATCATCGTGCTCATGAGCTATAAGATTTGCTGTTGGTGTCATGAATAAGAAGAAGAGCAAAGGCAAAGGAGGTCCTCCCGCTCATGGTTAGGGTTAGGGTGGCTAGATGTCTTGGCACGCAAAGACCAGGATCTCTCGGAACAGGGTGTGAATCTGTTGCGAGCCAGGAAAGGCAGCAATACCAAAGATGAGGCTTCGATAGATGACTCCTGGTGCAATTGAGAGACGTCTAATTGATCATATGCGGAAAATGTTAAGTGGTGCGACCAGGCTGTATGTTCTGAACGCGCATCCAGGCACCTGGCGGCGGGGACCTCATTAACGAGGTACTCCAGGACAAAGTCACATCGTGTCCACATCCCTATCATCATGGCCCCATCAAGAGGTCGCGCTATTTTCTGCGCGCAGAGGGTTTTATCAGGATATGCTATCCCCCCTCGTCGGAACTTCTTTTCGCTCTCAGTGGACAGGGCGTCGCGCAATCCTATCAGCCAGACACATCTTTTCCGTCCGCCGCACTACAGGCTAACCAGCTTCCAACAATGCTCCTACTCGACCTTTACAGACACTCTCGCCGACCCTGCCAATAAGCTGCAAAGCTATGTCTCCACCAGTAGCGACCCCTACCTCAATCTGTCCATCGAAGACCATATCCTACGCAAAAGCCCGCCAGACAGCACTATCCTTTTCCTCTATGTGAACCGACCCTGCGTGGTCATCGGACGCAACCAGAACCCATGGTCCGAGGTCAATTTAGGCATTCTAGATGCTGCTCGTGGGACACGTAACCCCAAGGATAGCGAGCCTCCAGGCATTGGCACCGTCGATCTTGTGCGCCGCCGCTCGGGAGGAGGCACTGTTTTCCACGATGAGGGGAATCTCAATTGGAGCATAACGTGCCCACGTGCCGACTTCACACGCGATAAACATGCCGAGATGGTTGTCCGAGCACTACGAAAACTCGGTGTCCAACGCGCCAGGGTTAACGAGCGTCACGATATCGTTCTCGATCAAGGTCAAGGAAACGACGGGCAACCTGTTGATCCCGAAGACACCCATCGCACGCCTTATACCATAGAGAATGGGGCTCTCCCTCGCCCTCTCAAAGTCTCTGGCTCGGCGTACAAGCTCACACGGCAACGTGCCCTCCATCACGCGACCACCCTGCTGAGCTCCCCGAATCTACACATCATACCACACTACCTCCGCTCTCCAGCTAAGAGTGTCATTCGCGCTCAAGGTGTGGAAAGTGTAAGTTCGCCTGTTTCAAACATTGGCTTGGAAGTCAAGACATTCCAGTCCCACCTGCAAGAAGAGTTCTCCCTCATGTATGCCGGACTAGGGTCACCGAGCATAGTACAGACTGTTGGGGACAAGTTTCTAGATATTCCAGATATCCGCAAGGGTTACGAAGAGCTCAAGGTATGTTGGAAGCTTTTCAGTTCATCATTCTCAATGCTAATAGCTGTAGTCTGAAGAGTGGATGTGGTCACAGACCCCAGCGTTTACTCTCACACTTGACCCTAAAGACGAAATCGGCATTCAAATCAAGGTACATCACGGCGTGATCAAGAGCCTGGACTTTTCAAACTCCAGCCTCTCCCATGAGACTCAGTCAGTTCTTGACACTGCGCTTATTGGCTTGGAGTTGCACAAGATTCGAGACTGGAAAGCGTTCCTGCAAGAGCATATTCATTCATGGGACACTGAGTTGACGACAACAGCCGGGCGACTGGACCAGCTCCTGCCAGTCCCTAGAATGTTCAAGCAGTGAGCAATGGTACTTACAAACCTGGGTAAAAGATTCCGTCTTTCCTTACCTTGCAAACTTAGGACGAGAAGACGATTACCTTACCACGGCTGGATACATTACTGAGGCCACTCTGTATATGGGAAGGAAATATGCAATGTACTATACTTCGATCGCTGCCGTCTGGACCAGAAGGCTTCCAAGACAACCCCCTTTTCTTTGTTGATCAGGTGACTAGACTATTGAAAATTAATCTAGCCGAATATTGATCCCGATTCCAATATTAACAGCGAATAGACTCACGGGCTACTGCTCTGAAGCTTCTGTCATGACGTCCTGATGTGCCCACGGAACCAAAAGCTTATTTAGCGACGCGTCCCATTGGAGGGTAAAGCGAGCACGAGCTTACGGAACGACAAATAGTAAAGTAGTATGGAGTAAGACACGGAAGTATCATTGCAGCCTCACTGAGAAGGAAGGACCAGCAGGCTACAATCGGTGATTCATTAATAATCTTGACATCCCCTGTACATTGACGCGCCTACTTATGCATTCTTACTGAACATAACCAGACCCTACCACATGACCGCTTCACTATAACGGCTCGGCACCAAATCTCGACAGTGGTTGTATTCAAATTCGAAATCCGTCCGAATTCATACCTAGAAACACCCAGCCACCACACAAACACAACACAATGGTACATTCATGCAGCTCTTCCTTTTCCACGATGCCCTCTATGGGGACGCCTTCTGAGTTGTCCTGTGAAGATGGAGTAGATCACTTCGCCGACTTTGATGGCACTCATACGCCCCAAGAAGATGGAGGGAGACGTGAAAGTGTCGAAAAGAGACCCTCATGCGTTGTATCGGAGAATGAGAACGACCGCAATGACCAGGAAGTGAATCAGAGTGAACGGCAACACCAAGGTGGGAACAGGATCAGTGATCAGGGGAATTGGATGAGGAGAATATGGGTGTGGCTGAAGAAGATTGCCGACACATTCTTGGCGCGCACATTTCGTCTGGTCCTCCACCGTGGAGGTGGCTGATGGTTCTGGGGGGGCCAAACCCAATCTTGGGAGCAGGCCGATTCGGAATATCCTAATCCATCTTTGAACAAGGCCGAATGACCTCGGTGCCGAAGAGATATCAAGACCCTGGGAGGGAAAGTGGACAGACGACAACGCAGCAACACTGAGATGACAATGACGACATGAGGCTGACTGTGCCAAGCCTGTGGAGCATTGTTTTTCCCTTTTAGAGAAACAAAACGTATGAGATGAGTTCTGCTGCAGATTGTCGATATTCAGGGTTGCAGAGGGTTTATACGGGTTGTAGCTAGGCTGAATCTTGACTATCGGCCCATCGTACAGCCTCCCTCGCTAGTTTATGTTTCGGCCTTCAGCCCCACAACCAACCGCAACTGCACCGCCTCCCTCCGTCTAGACCGGTGAATGCACTGCGTCTGAGGTGGGAATACAGGTATGCATGCATTCATTCCCTAGATGCGCGAACCCGCCAATCATGGTCGTGTCGAGTCCTCGGTGGCGAATGTTTCGAAACACGGGCCCCCCGAACAACAGATGTCAGCGGGCCTTCGCCGTGTTTCAGGTGAACTTCACGGCTCTGACAGCACGAATTGGTCTGTATTTCTGGTTGCCTACGGCCAACAGCTGCAGGCTACTATATGAATGACGATGCAGGTCTTTTTACCGCGGCAGATGATTTCCTAATGTATTTTTCTTTCTGCTCTGCGCATCGGCATACATATCTAGCTTTTTGACTTTATTTCTTTTCATCTGTAGCAATAATGAATGGTTACAGGGATCTCAGCGCTGGCTCGCAATACATGTACAATATGACGAATGGTCTTGAAGATGATTCATTCGAGGGTGTGCAGCCTAGATGGCCGCACCTGCAAAATCAACAGATGCAGTTCCATGGCTACGGCCAGGGCTCTACAGGTATACTATGCGCGATAACCGCTCCACCGTGTCCGTATATCCAATGAATCTAACAACATGTATAGGTGGTCATGGTCAGCACAATAGCCATTGGTCGAACACAGACATCCCACCCCAGTCTTTTCCTCATGCGCAACACCTCTCGGCCTCAAGTTTCTCTTCGGCAGGTTCAAGCTTACGATCGTCACAAGCGAGCGGGTTCTCAGACCTTTCCTTCCGAGATTCAGTCTCGTCATCCTCCTCATGGTCCCGCACATCTGGCATGGGTCGGGAGCAACACGTCCTACAGACCGAGTATGATCTAAGTCACGGTCCACCAGCCCAATCCTCTTACTTCTCCAGTCCTGTAGAAGAAACCAATTCCATCGTATCCAAGCGTCGACCAACCCGGAAGCCCCTCGTGCAAGAAAAAGACTACTTCAAAACCTGCGTCTCTGCCCACAAACAATCCCGCACCTGCACCAAATCCCACAAGTACTTCTGCACCAGCTGCAAAAAATCCTTTGTCGAAAAAGCAGACTGGAAACGCCACGAAGAAACCTACCAAGAGCGCCCCGAAATGTTCGAATGCGACCTCTGTCCCGCAATCTACTTCTTAGAAAAAGACTTTACAGCGCACCACGGGCAATCGCACCGCTGCGCCCCCTGCAGCGGCACCACAAAATGGAACAAGAAAACCCACATGCTCTCCGCTCGCAAAGAACGCATGACGCGCACGGGATGGGGCTGCGGCTTCTGCTGTCACTTCAGCTCCGACTGGACCGAACGCTGCAACCACCTCGCACACCACATGGAGAAGCAAGGCCTCACCGAGTCCGACTGGAACCACAACAACGTCATTCACTCCCTCCTCCAGCGCCCCATCGTGTCCTACGAGTGGCGCCGCATAGTCCAAGGCATGCAACTGCACACGGTGCTCTGCTCGTGGAACCAGCATTCAACAGGGCGTGTGGAGGGGTACCCGGAGAGCAATCCCGTGCCGCAGTTACAAGACTTTCTTGAGTATTTTACAGAGGATCAGGATCCCGTTGCGCTGGCGCAGCTCGCGTATAGGAAGATGATTCGGCATTCTGAGCCGCTGAGGACGGCGGCGCCGTTACCGCCACTGCCGCAGCAGCAGCAGCAACAGGTGCCTGCGCGAGAGCGGCGTGAACAGACGCTGCAGGAGCTCACGCGAGACACGGAGATGTGGACGCAGCTTATTAATTCGGTGGTTGACGACGATGTCATGCCGCAGGGCGTGTGTCCGCTGGATGGTAGTTTGTATAACACTTGAAAATTGCCGCTTTAATGTTTAAACCCGTAATGGATAACTCTTGAGGAGTTGAAACGAAGAAAAGCAACAAGTTGTAGTATTTCAGAGAAAAAAAAACGGCAGTTTCTCGGAAGCGGATATGACGGGTTACATTTCCTAACGAGTCCGAAATGAGGAGGTTTAACAAGTAATACTTCAAGAGGTACTATCACGACAACGATCATGTTTGAACACCCAACAGTTATCTCTGCATCTTTTTTTCGGTATGAACGAGCTATCACCATCCTTCCAACTCCTGCGCTTTGGTCTCCAAACTGGGTGGCTGGACGGGCATGCCCTTCTTCAGCGCCCCTACCAACGGGTCTTTGCTCATGAACTCCTGTATCTTCTCGTCGGTACTGACATCTGTCTTGACGCGCTGATACGCCATTCGCGATGGCATATCGATTGCGCTTAGGAACTTTTCTCTCCGGGCGTCCGACCATGCCTTCAGTAGCCTCTCTTCGTTAAGTGCTCTGTCGCCCATGATATGGATCAAGACTTCAGCAAGGGACGAAGCGTCTGCCATGCCGGATGCAAGACCGAGGCCAGCGTAAGGGTTTGTTAGATGCGCAGCGTCGCCTACGAGGCAAGTGTGAGAGGATGCGTGATAGAGTGATTCGACGAGCCGCTGTTGCGCTTTGTACGGCGCTATCCGAGTGATTTCGTAGTCGATGGCTCCTTCGCTGTTCCTGCCTTTGTTTGGGAGCATGAGACGAAGTTTTTCATCTATATCTTTCTTGATCTCTTCTTCCGTAGTATTCAGAGGCACGCCGTAGGATACGCGCCATAAAGGTGGCTTGGAGTCTGTTGCATGATTGATCCGCCCGATAAGTCCATAGCTTCGTGGATCGATGATGAAATTGGCGTCGTAAAATCCGTGGCTGTGGAAGTCAAAGTACAGATCTGTGGCTACGAGTTGGGCCGCGAGCGTCTCGCCTTCCAATTTGATACCGAGCTCTTTTCGGATGGTAGAGTGGGCTCCAGATGCGTCCACGAGGTATGCTGCTTCTATCCACTCAATCCCAAGGCGTGAAGAGGTAGGCGTAGGCGTCGTCTTGACATCGACGCTGTCCCGCGATGTTCTTAATCCAGTGACACTAACCCCAAGGCGAATTTCTGCCTTTTGATCCAAGGCAGCTAATCTTTTCATGAGTACTTGCTGAAACTTGCCCTGGGGCAATAATAGCTGGCCCTTCCCCTTCATACCCTCTACTGAATTGTCAAACGTCTTTTCAGCGATAATCTTGCTTCCGTTTTGCAAACTGTTTCGGAAGCATAATCCTGAGCTCAAACTTCCAGTCTTGATCAACTCAGGTAGTAATCCCTCTACCTTTGAGAATATGGGGTAAGTCGGTGGCTGGTGGGCCATTGCCCGCGTAGAGCTGGGGTCAGGTTGTTCGGGTTCAATGACGATGACTTTGTTGGGAATATCCGACTGAGCTAGAAGAAGAGCAAGAAAAAGACCGACACAGCCACCCCCAGCTATCACGATTGGAAGTTTTTTCGATATTTTGCCATTCATGTGGGACGATCCGTTTGTGCGGGATCTGCCGTTGGTGTGAGATGTTCCATTGGCGTGGGATCTGCCGTTGGTGTTGGAAGTACCGTTGGTGTAGATAGTCCCATTGCTGCTACCGGGGTTAGATGTAAAGTAGCTTGCAGCAGTGTTGGTAGTCGCCATTCTCTCTGGAGCTTATGGATATCTTCTGTACTCCAATATTCCTCACGTAGATTGTACCGATTTCGATCAATGGATGAATGAAACTGGATTAGAAAGATGGTAACAGCCAGGCGATATAATCTTTGCCAAAGGCTCCCGTTTACACCATCACCGTAATATGCATTGCATATGTACTTGTGACTGCGCATTCGGAGAAAGCCTTGACGGACTACATGGATGTGATGTTGTCATGTTGGTACCTGCGGAGCGGCCCCAACGCGGGGAACCGAGCACGGTTACGAGAGCCTCAGGGTTCAATTAGCATTTTATGTCCCGAGGAAGAAGAGATGCTTCTTAAAAAGAAAACAAGGCCATGCAGTTGTACTGCTGGGAAAACATGGTTATGTTGTGTGATAGCTTGTTTGAGTGCGGATATTTTCTTTACAGGAGCCTGGGGTTTGTTCTTTTGTGGACCGTCCAATTTCAAGAGGCATCCAGATGAGTGAAAAGTTCCAATGTCAATCTTCCGTAGTGGACCGTCTAGTGTGTTGTTCAACTGAGGGTATGCTTATGAGGCTTTTTTATCTCGTTTCTGAATGATCATTCTTGGTAGTAGTCCTATCCGGAGAACCCGGAAGGCAAACGAAGCATAAATGATGGTGGCTGCTGAGTAGAAAAGAGGCTTGGAGTATTTCATTTTCTGGCACGGTTCAACAGAAGATGGACTGGTTAACGGTGAGGTTTCTGAAGGTAGGGTTTGGTAGCCGTTTTGGTCTGCCTCGAACTCGCCGCGTGTACACTACGTCGTCCTTAGTCACTAGGCTCGATACCGGATAAACGGCAAGCTGCAGGAGATGTGAAAGCACAATGACGTTGCTCGTTTGCACAAAGATAATATTTTGCTGTTGTGAGCTTCAAATCAGAGAGGGTGAACAGGCATGTGCTGAGCTGGAGAGGGGAAGGTGCTCAGATGGCGCGCCGAGGCAGAGGGGCTGTGGCTAATGAAGTGTGGCTCATGACGTGCGCCACGCGGGCCGAAACAAAGCATAGTAGAACGGGACACGAATTGCCAAGTCAAGACTGCCTCGAGTACTCCCTGGTAACGCGGCTTATCTGTTCTTTTCCAGAAACAAATCTTCTCCATGAGGTAGCGATTGAATAGCACGTCTCTCAGAATGTCTGCGCTAGCCACATCTGACCCGGCACAACAAAGTGGTAGGTGAGGTGGCAGCTTTCGGAGGTGCTGCTCAACTCCGCATCCCCGGTCGCAAGTGGTGGTAGTGAAGCAACATGGAGTAATAGACTGACAGACAGGTACAGGAACTTTGTCCAAGTCACAGAAGAAGAAGAATAAGAAGAAATCAAACTCCAATGCGAGCAAGCCAGACGAGACGGCAAAAGCAAATGGCGGCAACGGCAAAGCGGCTCCAGACGATCATGACGACGACTCCGAGGGTGAAGGGGAGGAGCAGCAACAGCAGACTGTATGTCATACCCCTTGCATGCATATCTAGGTACTAAAATTGCGAAATACAGCAGCCCACTGCGCACGCTGCAGACCCGGACGCCGATGATGTAGACGACGAACCACCAGTGTCTCCAACAATACAAACAAACGGTACTCCACACCACAGCATTTCCTCTGCGATTGCTCTAGGACTAGCACGCTCACGCTCGCATCAAGGGCTCTCTCCATCCCCACCGCCCGCCTCCGACACGAGCGCCCGCCTCGATGCGATAGCAAAGGAGCGCGATGCGCTACGCCAGGAAGTCACCGAGCTCAGGAAGAGTCTAGAGGGTATTCAGAGCAAGCAGAGTGCAGGCGCGGCTGACGGGTCTCAATGCAACCACGATGAGGAAATTCGAAGTCTAAGAGAGGAATTGGACGAGGCAAACGAGGGCAAGGAGCACTTTGAGACTCAGTATAAGAACCTGCTGGGCAGGGTGAACACGATCAAGACGAGTTTGGGTGACCGACTAAAGGCTGATGCGGTCGGTGCTTCTCTCTGCTGCTTTGTTGCAGCGAGTATCGTTCTAGGGTGCTGACAAGTTGTAGGCTCGTATTGAAGAATTTGAGACGCAAGTCGCCGACCTCGAAGACCAAAACCGGGAATTACAAGAGCACAACAACAGTCTCACAGAAGAGCTTGCAAAGCTAAGACAGGAAAAGGAGGCACAAGTGTCAGAGATTGAAACACTACGAAGCCGTGCCACTCTGTCACAACAAAACTGGATCAAAGAACGCGATGAACTCATTTCCCGGGAGGCATATGCAAAGGAGGAGTTTGAGAATGCAAAGCAGGCCATGCAAGACTGGGAGGTGCTAGCCATGAACGAGCGGTCATTACGCGAGAACCTTGCAGAGAAAGATGCAGAGCTACGAGAACAACTCGAGTCGATCAAGGATGAGTACGAAAAAGCTGCTAGGGACAGGGATACCAACAGTCAGGCTGTAGAAGGTCTACAAAAAGCGCTGCAGGAGGTCCAGAATCGTAAGTGTCGTCGATTTTGTCTCGTTACAGCAATCTAACAAGCTGCAGTAAGGAAAGCTGAGCTCAAAAAGTCTGTTGAGACGTATGAAACGCAAATCAACGAACTCCGTAAACAGGTGCAAGCTGCAGATGCTGCTGCAGATGCCGCAAAAACAGCACTTGAGTCGACGAAGAAAGACCTTGAGCGAGCGCTGCCATTTGAAAAGGAGGTCAAAGAGAAGAACCTACTTATTGGCAAGCTGCGGCATGAAGCGGTCACGCTGAATGAGCATCTCACCAAAGCCTTGCGCATTTTAAAGAAGGGCCGACCAGAGGATAATGTTGATCGCCAGATCATCACCAATTACTTCTTGCATTTCCTGAGCATTGACCGTAGCGACCCCAAGAAGTTTGAGGCGCTTCAGTTGATTTCTGCGTTGCTGGGGTGGACTGATGGTAAGTCTCCCATGACATTCGCTGCTGCGAGCACGGTCTAACATGGACTGCAGAGCAGAAGGAACAAGCAGGTCTCGCCCGCCCAGGCACGGCAACCAACTCTGGGGGTCTCCGCCTCCCCTTAACGCCTTTCCGGCGGACACCATCGACGCCTTCACTAAGCTCGGCAGTAGATCCTATGCTCATGGCTAGCAGCTCAAGCAACAAGGAATCGCTAGCCGAGCTATGGCAAGATTTCCTTGAGCGGGAAGCTGCCGAGGGTAAAGACGACGCTTCGAGGAGAGGAAGCACTGTGAGTCAGATTACCAGGACAGAGAGCGGGCTCGGCATCAGCGAAAGGAAGTGAATTGCATTTGGGATGCATATACTGATACAGGAAACACCTTATTCGTCTGCAACTTTCTGTGGACGTTGGTATAATAGAGCCCTTGGTGCTTGGTCACCTCGGATCGCTTGGTTCGATCTTTAACAAGTTTCTCGTGTATATCGTATGACACGAGCCTAATGCCATGTGTTGTTACATTTCCAATGTACAAGAAATTCTCAATTCCTGTCCGGCGCCGCTTTGCAGGTGGGAAGAATGTCCAACGGAGAGAAAACTGGATGCTGCCATTCCTGCCCCATAATCACTCTCGGTGGTGACATCATCTCCTCCAACCCGTATGCTTCAAGATCTGTTCCTCCTTCTCTTTGCGTGGGTCGGGCAACATGGTGCGCTTTCTCTGTGCCTCGCTTCGTCTCTCGCGTGCCCACTGCTTGGCTTGCTTATCGGTAGGTCGACGAATAGCCCAATTGAGCTGGCCAAAGATGTTGGTTTTGATCGCTAGCATCAATTGTCAGCTGTATGTCTAGACAATACCACCAGAATGTGCTGAGACAGCCACATACCATCTACACAGTATGGGCAGAGAATGTGCAGCCGCTTGACCCTCCCGCACGCTGAGCATCTATTCAGCGATGTGATATCTTTCAGCCCTTTTCCTGCCATGAACCGTTGTCGCTTCTTGCGATACGATGTCTTTTTCTTGGGTACTGCATTGAGGATCCCGTCCCAGATGTCTGCTAATGAGGGTATCTTTGGTAGTGATAGTGAGGGTATTGCGAGTGCGCCGAAAGGTGTATTGAGCGCACCAAAGGGCTGTACGAGGCGTTGCAGAAAAGGCGCATTCAAGATGGGTCGCGTGGAGGCATTGAGGCCCGGCAGAAGGGTCTGCCAGAGCGGGGGGAGTGGGCGAGCAAGGGCCATTTCTCTCGTTGGGCTGCCCGCAATGTTGGCGATGGCGGGCGGTGATGGAGTTGCAAATTGTCGGCGCACGGGTGTCCGAGCGTGCAGGTCGCGCCTTACCGCCCTCCCACTAGCGCGCTTTCGCTTCCTAAGGCCGACCCCTTTCCCGCGCCTGGTGTCTCCGCGAGAAAGTCGCCAGCGCAGCGACCCTGACTATTTACCTCCAGCCAGCGACTCTACCCTTTTCTGTTTTTACCTTGTCTGCCTGCCACAAGGTCTAGCTCACCCATAACATACACTCTCCGCATCTCTTCTTAGCTACATACCCGCCACCCGAGGCCCCCACCGCCCACAATGGCTGCCGCGTACCAGAACCAGTCGCAGCCCATCTTCCCTGACAGCTATGTCGGTTTCGACAGCATCACCAAGCAGATTGAGCGCAAGTCAATCAAGCGGGGCTTCCAGTTCAATGTCATCTGCGTTGGTAAGGACTGCTATCTGAACTGACTGTCTTATGTACACGCCCACTAACCGGCGTAACCAGGCCAGACGGGTCTGGGCAAGTCGACGCTTATTAACACGCTCTTTGCCTCGCACCTGATGGACAGCAAGGGCCGCTTCCAGCCCGACGAGGAGGTCCGCAGCACTACCACCATCCACCCGGTCTCACACATCATCGAGGAAAACGGCGTGCGTCTCCGCCTCAACATCGTCGACACCCCCGGCTACGGCGATCTGATCAACAACGAACGCTGCTGGGACCCCATTGTCAAGTACATCAAGGACCAGCACAGTGCCTACCTCCGCAAGGAGCTCACCGCCCAGCGTGAGAGGTACCTCCAGGACACGCGTATCCACTGCTGCTTGTTCTTCATCCAGCCATCTGGTCACGCCCTGAAGCCCATTGACATTGTTGTCCTTAAGAAGTTGAGCGAGTTTGTCAATGTTGTGCCTGTCATTGCCAAGAGTGATAGCTTGACGCTGGAGGAGCGTGCCGAGTTCAAGCACCGGATAAAGGAGGAGTTCCAGTTCCACAACCTGCGCATGTACCCCTATGACAACGAGGAGGATGATAGTGAGGAAGTCCAGGCAAAGCAGGCTATTAAGGTATGCTGAAATCGAGTTATTGTTTATGATATGGGCAGCAGCTAACATGCAGCAGGAGCTCCTGCCCTTTGCCGTCGTCGGTTCTGAGAGGACTGTTGTTGTTAATGGCAAGAACGTCCGCGGCCGCCAGAACAAGTGGGGTATTATCAATGGTGAGCAACAGCGTACTCATCTTTTTTTTCTCGCGCAAATGAACTGACGCGTCGTAGTCGAGGACGAGAACCACTGCGAATTCGTATACCTCCGCAACTTCCTTACCCGCACCCACTTGCAAGACCTGATCGAGACGACCGCACAAATCCACTACGAATCGTTCCGTGCTAAGCAGCTGCTTGCGCTCAAGGAGAGCAGTGCCCATGGAGGCCACTCCTCGCGCCCCATCTCACCTGCCGCTGATCGCGAGCTTAGCAGGAACAGCCAGCGCATGACCATGAACGGGTACTAGGACTTCCCGCACCATAGTCGCGTCGATAGCAATCCAGGCAGGCATGGCGGCCCTCCCCCGCCACGTATGGATCCACGCTCGGACAGGCACTATTCTATGGATCCGGTCTGAGCTTTGCGTGTCTGAGGGAGCAGTGCGTGAGGAGGGTAGTTTGGAACGTTTTGATACCAGTGCATCATCTAGCACGAAAATGGGGAGGGAGCGAGAGACTTTGCAGCAGACTTCAGATTTGACACCTTTCTCAATATCCTTTTAGTTACGATGGACCTTTTTAACTTCTTTCTGATCTCGTATGTCATAGCACGGTGTAGTGGTTGGGCTGAGACCTGGGTTGTCGCCCAGATTCCTTCTAGGATAGCAAAGTAATTCGAAGCCAACTGGTCTTCACCATTGTTTGTTACAGTGTACAATGGCTTGTGGATGACCTTGTTTCCCGTTTCTCTCTTGCTCTTTCCTCTACCGGCTTCGGATCAGGCCATTGTACATGGATGTTGTGAGACTTGCCGGATAGCGCCATGCAGCGGCTTCGGAGATGCGGCCCCACTGTTTCGTTCTGCCGCTCAATCCTCCTTGCATCTGTGGACGATACCGATACAAAGTGGAGCCTAACCGTTCTCGGTAACACGAGTGTTGGTGTTTGGAAGACTTCACCTCAACAGCTTTGACCCCGCAAAGTCCTCGATACTATCATCGCCCTTGTTTCCGCTGCCTTTCTTTGTTTGCCCTGTAATGCGCACGGGTCCCCCACTCTTTGCTCTGGCGGGTGAACCGTCAGGTGACTTTGACGACGCCACAGTGGTATCTGTTTCGCCAACAATGCGCTCAATCACTTTTGCCTTGGCTCCAGCCCTCTTGAATCGATCGTCAAAGTCGGCAACTGCTTCTTCAGTATTGGCCGTGTCGAAAGTCTCTAGGTCCGTCAAGGAATGCAGAAGCATGACGTTATTCTTTAGCCTTTCGTTCTTTGCAAGCAGTGGTATTCTCTCTTGGCTCTCTTTTTTCTTATCAGCTCCTCCTTCCTCTGACCCTGTAATTTGAACATTGCTTGTGTTCGGCTCAGAGATCAGGCCGGGGAGCCGCGAACCCCATACTACGCTCCTCCCATGCAGCTCGCCAAGAGCGGCAAACTTCTCAAACCCTTTTTCGAGTCCAAAGATTCGGCCTTCGATTCGACCGGCGCGGGCGCCGTCTGAGACGCCGAGGTCGTAGGCCGCAGTGTAGAGAGTATCTTCCAGGGTTAGGAGGGTGTCGAAGGGGTCGTCGGAGACGTTATCTTGAGACGTCGGCTGCTGAGACATTGGATGATGGATCAAAGAATAACTTCGATAGTCTTGTGTGATATCCCTTGGAGCAATGCTATTCTCAATTGTAGACGAAGACAGTACCGGGTTGGCCCTCCAATCTGCTTTCTTAGAGGGCTTACAAATCCAGTAGAATATAGTAATTTGCAGTACTTGGATTTTGCCCCTCAGGTCCACGCCGAGCATAGATCAGATTCAGGGTTCGGTCATTTTTGTGGCGTTGGCGCGGCGGGGTCGGTTCTGGCGGGGCTGCTACAACCACACACATCGGAGCCCGTGGCTGTCGCGTTTGACTCAGAAACTCTATTAGATCACGGCGTGGACGCATACCTTCCGATATACACGTGCTGATCTCGTTTATCCTGTTTCACGATTGATACATATCCCATTTGAAGAGATAGCAGTAAGAATAGACATCTTCTTTTCCAATACACGCTCACACGAACACCCTCAAAGGACGCAACTTCCCATGACCGAGGCACCAAAGAAGATTCTGCCCGTCGAGGGCGAGCGCAATGTGCTCATTACTAGCGCTCTTCCATACGTAAACAATGTTCCGCATTTGGGCAACATTGTCGGATCCGTACTTTCCGCCGACGTCTTCGCCCGTTTCTCACGCGCACGAGGATACAACACACTATACATTTGCGGTACAGACGAGTATGGAACGGCCACAGAGACCAAGGCAATTGAAGAGAAGGTAACTCCCAAGGAGCTTTGCGACAAGTACTATGCGCTTCATAGCGAGGTCTACAAGTGGTTCAACATTTCGTTTGATCACTTCGGACGTACACCTACACAGCAGCAGACTGATATCGCACAAGACATCTTCACAAAGCTGTACAAGAATGGCTATCTCGAGGAGCAAACAACAACACAACCTTACTGTGAAACACACAAGAGCTTTCTTGCTGATCGATTCGTCGAGGGAACATGTCCGCTGTGCGCCTACGATGATGCGCGAGGCGATCAATGCGACAAGTGCGGACATCTCCTTGACCCCTTGGAGCTGAAGAACCCTCGGTGTAAGCTCGATGGCGCAACACCAGTTCCGCGCGAGACCAAGCACGTGTATCTCTGTCTAGATAAGCTACAGCCGCTAGAAGAGGAGTGGTTCAAGAAGGCAAGCAAAGAGGGCAATTGGAGCTCCAATGGTGTTCAAATTACTTCCTCCTGGCTCAAAGAAGGTCTGCGACCACGCGGTATCACGCGAGACTTGAAGTGGGGTACTGCAGTGCCTCTTGAGGTACGACGAATCCTTAAACCTGACCAGAACTCAACTGACCAAATCAGGGCTATGAGGACAAGGTCATGTACGTGTGGTTCGATGCGTGTATAGGCTACGTCTCGATTACAGCAACCTACACAGAGGACTGGAAGCAGTGGTGGCATAACCCCGAGCAAGTCAAGCTCTACCAGTTCATGGGCAAGGACAACGTGCCATTCCACACTGTTGTCTTCCCTTGCTCGCAAATTGGTACCAAGGACAAGTGGACTATGCTCAACACTATCTCAACAACGGAGTATCTGAACTACGAGAAGGGCAAGTTCTCCAAGTCAAGAAACATTGGTGTATTTGGCAACAATGCTAAGGAGACGGGCATCCCATCTGATGTGTGGCGCTACTATCTCCTCTCGCATCGCCCGGAAACTGGAGATACTGAATTCGAATGGGACGGCTTCATTGCGGCAAACAACAACGAACTACTCAAGAACCTTGGCAACTTCATCAATCGCGTCATCAAGTTCGTCAACAACGCAAAGATCTACGATTCGGTTGTGCCTGATTACACCAAGTTTGACGACCCCTATTTTACCGAGCACAAGAAGAAGGTTAACGACTTGCTCAAGACGTACATTGCAGAGCTGGAAGATGTCAAGATCCGTGCTGGTCTTGCTACTGCGTTACACGTCTCAAGCTTGGGTAACTTGCTTCTGCAAGATAACCGCCTAGACAACAAGTTGGCCACTGAGCAGCCAGATCGATGCGCCGCTGTTGTCGGACTTGCGCTAAGCCAGATCCATCTCCTTGCCAGTCTGATTCAACCTTATATGTAAGTGAAATCTCCCTTTTACGCTGTCTGCATGGTCGGAACGGCGATGTCCGGAGTATTCATTGTACACATATCGGCAAGGGTCATTCCGCGTGACACGGAGAGCCCTTGTACACAGCTACACAGAACTATGAAACTGACGCTATTGAACACATGGCTAACTGTGCGACAGGCCTGACACTACTACAGCCATCCTCTCGCAACTGAACGCAGAATTCCTTATCATCCCAGACAACTGGGAGGCACGTTCGCTGCCCGTTGGCCACAAGATCGGTACTGCCGGTTACCTCTTCACCCAAATCAAGCCCGAAAAGGAGCAAGAGTGGCGAGAGCAGTTCGGAGGTGAGGAGGCCCGTAAAGCAAAGGAAGAAAAGGCCAAGAAGGCGGCGGCTAAGAAGGCCGAGAAGGAGCGCAAGAAGGCAAAGAAGGCCGCTGGTGGTGTAGAGGCTGCTGAGAAGGGACAGGATGGGCCTGCAGCGAAGACGGCAGAAGAGGAAGTATCGAGGGGTGTAGAGCAAGTCAGCCTTCAGACGTCTTAGTGTAATTGTCTTGTAAGGGGATCCGAAGGGATGTTCGGCGTTGGCGATAGTACAGGGGTTCTCGGAGCATAGCAGCGGAGTATTGGCATTCAACATCATAAGGGGGTTGTTTACAGTGTTGTATCGAGCCTTTCCGGAGATTACCCTGTGACGATGATATGGGTTCCAAAGGTTTGGGCAGGCGGTCCTTTGTGACATGGTAGCCACGCGCACAGCAGAAGTTTGTGTTAGTAGACTAAACTCGAGCGTCCGAGTAGAAGAAACATGATATGCTATTCCGGCCAATTTCACGATGTCCAAATTCCGTGTTTCTTGTTTGCTATCAAGGCCTCTCTTTCATGTGAGAAGTGGCTAGGGTGAGTGATGGCCAATGGACATACATTGCGCGTTAGATGAGATTATATGGCGGAACTCTCCAAGCAATATCACACTTCAATTGCAACTACAGACTATCATAGATATCAATTGACCTGTATGATGATAAAACTTTTGTCTAATGCTGATTCCTGGCAATGTCCGCTTCCCCATTGGAGTACAGCTACACTGAACGGGCCATCTTGCTGCAGTCTCACCTGTTCCTGACTGACGCATTCACTGAGGCAAGTGGGTCCCAGACGCCCCTTCCCCAGCCGCTCACATGCACAGCGTTTGCCCAAAACCGACGTGACCCCCGCTTAGGCTGTTTATCGCTCACTGTGAGGGGTTAAATTGGGTCTAGCCACTGCGCTTTTACTTCACTTTCATCACCATTGCGCTCGGTTCCCAGCCCTTATATAGCAATCGTTTTCTACCTCAATTTCCTTTCCACCTCACACTCGCTCTTTGACGATCTCTTCAACTACTTGTGGAGTTCATCACACACCAATCACGTCTCATCAATTACAGCTTTTACTCTGAAAGGTAAATATCACCTCACCCCTCTGCTCCAGCTTTTGCTCTCATCCCCCTCCCCCACACCCTTTGCTCCAGCGACTGATTCAGTCGGCTTTAACAGTTGCGTCTTTAGCTTACCAGTCACCATGGCGAGCGGATATGCTCCGCAGATGGAGAAGCTTGCTGGTATGGGTATTGGTGAGCAGCGCGAGTTCGCCCATGGTGATGATACCATTGGCGGCAGCGCAAAACATCCCACCGCGGATAGATATGGCAGCGAAGCTTCGATGGTGACCACCCCCACCGCTAGCAGGATCGATGTAGAGCAGCCCAAGGGCCCCGCTGAGATGGAGGCTGTCACTGTCGTCTGGACCAAGAATTGGTTGATTACTGCATACGCCGCGTAAGTACACTATCTTCCCATCCATTGTCCAATTGGAACACTTACTGAGACTGTGATTTAGTATCATGCTCATCTCGTTCATCAACTCCCTCCAGCAGCAGGCCAACTTCACGTGGAAGCCCTACGTTACTTCGACCTTCGCAAAGCATGGCTTGACTGCCATGACTGACATCGTAGCCAACATTGTCGGAGGTGTCTCGAAGCTGCCATTGGCCAAGTTCATTGATCTCGTCGGTCGCCCTCAGGGATTTCTCATCTGCTTGGTCTGTATCGTTCTTTGTAAGTCTTGCCAGCTTGCTTTCCCTTTCCCTTAATATACTCTGCAGTGGCTTATCATCGATCCAGCGTTGATGCTCATGGCCCAGTGCCAGGACGTTGAGACGTTTTGTGCAGCCCAAGTCATCTACTGGACTGGTATGAACGGTGTTGACTACGTCTTCAACATCTTCATCGCCGATACCTCGCTCATGAAGAACCGCCTCATCTGGATGGCTTTCACAGGGTTTCCTTATGTCGTTAACACATTTGTAAGTACCATGTTTCCATTCACGTAGTTTACTTGCTAACATTGTTTCTTCGCAATTAGACCGGTCCCAAGCTGGGTGAAGTCTTTCTCAAGCACGGCGGCTGGCGCTGGGGTTATGGAACCTTCACCATCTTGACACCAGTCTTCTCGCTAACTTTCTGGGCTGTTTTCTGGTTCATGGGTAGACGGGCGAAGAAGCTGGGCATCCTCAAGCGCGAGAGCACCAACAGGCTTCTGGTGGAGAGCATCAAGTACTGGTGCATCGAGTTTGATGGTGAGTACTCTTGCTGAGAATGTTTTCGCACCGCTAATACCTCTCAGTCGCCGGACTCATCCTTGTATGCGGTGGCTTCTCGCTTCTCCTCCTTCCATTCCCGCTCGCCGCATATCAGAAAGATCGCTTCGCTTCGCCCATGGTCATCTGCATGATTGTCTTCGGAACTCTTCTCATTGCTCTCTTCGTAGTATGGGAGCGTTTTTACGCTACCAAGTCGTTCTTCCCGTTCTACCTTATGAAGAATCGTTCCGTTATCGCGGCCTGCCTGTTGGGTGGAAACTCATGGATTGCCTTCTAGTAGGTTTTCAATATCTATCTCAAAGACAACACTGACTGACTTGACCAGCTCCTACCGGATGATGTACTCGTCTTACCTTCAAGTCGTCTTTCAGCTTTCGGTCGCAAAGGCAGGCTATATCACCAACATCTTCAACATTGTCTCCTGTACCTGGGCCATCGTCGTCAGCTTTGCAATGAAGTACACCGATACATACAAGTGGGGAGCTGTCGTCGCGATTCCTATCCAGATCCTCATGACCGGCCTGTTGATCTATCTCCGTACACCAGGCAGCAACATTGCAGTCCTCATTGTAGTCGAGGTCTTTGGAGCCATGGCAAGCGCAATGCTTTACAATGTTGAGCAAGTCGCCATCATGATTGCTGTACCGCATGAGCAAGTAGCCGTCAGCATTGCGCTCCTCAACGTTATCACTGCAGTCGGCGGTGCCATCGGCCAGTCTATTAGCGCCACGATTTGGGCCCAGATGGTACCTCAGAAGATTGCCGAGTATCTTCCTCACGCTCCTCCCACCGAGATTGCTCGACTCTACGGTGACCTTAACGCTCAGTTGGCATCACCATGGGATAGTCCAGAGCGTCAGGCTGTGGTTCGTGCCTTTGCCGACACCCAGAAGACTATGGTCATCTTCGGAACTTGTGCGCTTGTTCCATGCTTGGTGTGGGTAGCTATGTTGAAGAACTCGCGCATGAGCGAGCACAAGGCTAGGAAGGGTCTCCAGGCTTAAGTAGTGTATCACTGCAACGTCTGGGTCTGCGACGCACGTGTGCGGTACAAAAGTAGACATGTATGGAATGACGCGTCGGAATGGTTAAGGAGCGATATGAATGATGGTACTGTTCGTCCTGTACCACGACTCTTGCTGATCTTCAGTGTATTTATCATATTCGAGTCCAATGAATTGATTTTTTGACATTATCATAATATGCCTGTCCCGAAGCGGATTGTTTGTGAAATTTCATACAATGTAATGAACCAAAATCAAAGAGCAAGGGTACGTTGTTCTCTATGTATAAGATCTAAGCCTTATTCAACACGTAAGCAGCGTAGTCGTGATCGAGGCTCAGCGTTGGATGGTCGAGGGACCGGGAATGATTTTGGAACCAGTGGGACGGCAAACCCCTAACCACTATGACGTCCAATGACCTCCTACCCTGCATCCATGCAACTCAATCCATGCACAATTCTGATCTCCAGTAATACCCGATAGATGCGGCGCCTTGTCTTGTTCTAGTCGGGCAGCACCATGCTCCCTTGAACATCATTGGCGGTGAGGCGCCAACGCATACCAGCCTCGCCAATTCCCTGGGTCAGACGCTTGCATCGGTCCCACCAGCCACCCTCGACGACACACCGCACGCGTACCATGCTTTTCCCATGAATCTGACATGCTTCGTTTTGTTGAATTCTAAGGGACCGTACCAAAGAAAATTCATCTTCTCAGAGTGCCAAAATGCATTTGAATCACCTGCTTTCACTACCGCCGGCTATCATCGCCCTGTGCGCAACCTCGTCTGTTGTCGCCGCCCAAGCCGATTCGCACCAGCAACAATGGCCGCACAATGTACCCAAGCACCTAAAGTACTTTCCTGAGGACGAGGCACATGCGAAGCGCGGGCTGAGGGTTGCGCAGAGGTTGCAACATGAGAAGCCGATTGGAGTCAAGAAGATGAGTCTGGACGAAGGTGAAATGTTTATGCTCGACAATTGGATATTCGCCTCGGAATCTCAGCAACAGTCGCGGAGATCCGACTTGGACAATCTGGGTAACCTCACAGTACAAGCTGCCTCACCTTTACGACCGCTGGCTCAGTCGGGCTGGTTAGCGCGCATGCACATTCGAGATGTGTTGCTTAAACGCCAATTCAAATGTCCCGAGGGAACGAATAGCTGCGAGTCGATTGGGGCGCCAGACGTCTGCTGTGGTACAGGAAGCGATTGCATAAACACTAGTGGTAACTCTGACGCCGGAAATGTTGGATGCTGCCCCAAAGGACAAACTTGCGCCGGAAACGTCAGCTGTGATACTGCAGGCGGATACTCAAGTTGCCCCGGTTCATCAAACGGAGGATGTTGTATGCCTGGATTCAGATGCCAGGGCATAGGATGTAAGTCAAAAAAACACACCACTCACAAGATACCGTGATTGAGTAAATACTAACCTGTACAGGCGTCCTAGAAGCAACATCAACAACCTTCATTCCGCCCTCTTCCACCTCCACCACCGCTGCTCCCCCGGCCCCAACCTCAACAGCAGCCCAAACCTCCACCACGCCCACCCCCTCCAGCACAACCCCCCCACCCGTCACCTCCTCCTCCTCCCGCACCGCATACACCTGCTCAACAGGCTGGTTCTCCTGCCCGGCCTCCCTCGGCGGCGGCTGCTGCCAAACCGGCCGCACCTGCGCAACCGGCGCCTCTTGCATCGGCGACCCCCCCACCACCAGCACTCGCGCCCCAGACGCGCCCATCCGGCCTACAAGCGGCACCACGACCGCCGCCCAAGCCACCAGCGCAGAAGTCTGCCCCCAAGGCTTTTACGTCTGCAGCGCCTACTACCCCTCGGGCTGCTGCCGCGTCGGCCGCGACTGCCAGACCACCGGGTCCTCGTGCGTGCTCCCCACGGGTACGGTCGTAGATACGAATGGGGTTACGGTTGTTGCGCCTACCACGAGCGCGGGGAGTTGTCCTAGTGCGTGGTATAGTTGCGCTGCGAGTGCGGGGGGAAACTGTTGTCCTCAGGGTTATGCGTGTGGGGAGCAGCAGTGTACGGCGACGGCGAGTGGGCAGGCGGGGACGACGGAGAAGGTTGTGCCGAGTAGCAGTAGTAGCCAGGCGAGTTTTGTAGCGGTTGTTCCGATTGCCGTGTCGTTTTTTGTGGCAGGGGCGATTGGGGTTGCGATGGTGGTGTTGTGAGGGTGAGAGTTTGGCATTTTCTTATTTTTTTTATGATGACGAGGACGACGATGAATGATAAAGACGACTATGATTTATATGACGATGAGTATATAGCACAGATTTCTTTTACACATACACACCTAAGACATGATCATTTACATTTCTACAAGAGTTTTGATGCAAGTTGAAAACAAGAAAATGCATGGGGGAGTCTTTGTACTGCCTATAGCTTGTAGCTTCCCGCACCCTTCTTCGCTCCATCCTTGACCTCCTTGCCCTCGACATCCGTAATAACACCCTTGCGTCCGATAATCTGTACGCCGCCCTTCTTCAAGTCACCCAACAACTGCTTCTTCTCACCCCTCTTCTTCTCCTTACCTTCAACCTTCTGCTCCTTGGGCTTATTAAGACCAGCCTTCTTAGCCCTCTCCTTTGCGCGGCGTCGCCTTGATGACTTCTCTTCGCGAGACATTTCTTCGCGGGCAACAGGCATGCCACTCTTTGTGACGATTTCCGCCTTGTTTTGCTCGTCGCCGGGTTTGTAGATTTCTTGGGGCGCGAGCATGCTTGCGCCTGCGACGTCGCCGCCAGCAGTGGGGCGGGCATCTTCCATTTCAATAGCGGGAGCGTCCGTGCGGATTTCGAGGTTTGGTGCTGCTGGTTTGGGCTTGAAGTGTGAAGAGCTGAGAGAATCGAGTTTGGCGGATACGCTTTTCCAGAGGGCGGAGATCTCATCGTGTTCCTTTTTGAGCTTCTCGTCCTTGGCCTCGACGAAGTTGGGGTCTGTCTGGCGTAGGTGCTCTTCTTCGTAGATTTCGGCCAGACCCTTGCCAGATTTGGTGTCATCTATCTCGACGCGACCACGGCGGGGGCCTGTTGCGAGGTCGTCTGGTCTTCGGCGGTGCACCTCGTCAAATTCTCCGGCTAAGATGCGTCGTTTGATGAGTGCCTCAATGTCTTCTGATGTTTCTTGGGTGACTATTGGGACGGGTTTGCCGGCTCTTTCGAACTCGAGATTCTCTTCCAGCAGTGAGTTTAGCGGACGGTCAGCTGCGCGTGCCTCTCCGGATAGCTGCCATTGTCGTTTTGCAACATTGGCTGCTTCTAATTTCCTAATCTCTTCTGCTATCTTGGCCTGTCTGCGTTCGTGTGTAGACCGTCTTGACTTTGGATCTGAAGGATCAACATCCGAAAGATCTCCATCGCTTTCTACATCGTCATCGTCCTCAAATAGATCTCTGTGCACCTTGGCCATAGTGCGCTCCACGTCTTCTTCAATCTCTTCTTCCGGCTCATCCTGCTTCTCCGGGAAGTTATGGGGGTTCGGCCGCCCTCGTTTCTTGCTGTTCTTGTTCTTGTTCTTTCCAGCTTTCTGCGCCGGTGGCGCAAAGAAGTCCTTGTACATGACATTGTTAGCGTTCATGCCAGCGTCAAGGCCGTCCAGATCGCCCTCCTCAAAATCATCTTCGTCGCCGCTGTCACCTTCGGGTGCATTGAGATCTGCGTTGCCAAAGGTTGGTCCACCCTCATCGGATTCATCATCGGACGCGTCTCCTGACGAAGGCTGCGACTTGGTCTTGGCGCCACCGTCTTCCATTGGGTCTGCCTCCCAGTTTATCTCTTCGTCGTCGCTATCCACACCCTCTCCTCTCTGATCTTGCTGTTCTAGGAAGTCGGTCTGCTTGTTGAAATCATCTATGGAGAAGAAGCCATCATTGAGACCATTTGGATCGGGCACATAGGTTTCTGCAGGCTCATCATCGGATCCCTCGTCGGAGAGCACGCCCTCTTCGCCGTCTTCCATTTCTTCATCTTCGTCTTCCGACTCGTCATCTTCTGGTTTCGCATCCTCGTCATCGTCAATACCGTCGTATTCCCAATCCACACCCTCTTCTCCTATGTCCGACTCGGTGTGATATTCCTCTGGCTCTTCAAGATCTTCATCGTCTTCTTCATCAAACTCTGGCACAACGCCATCTTCCTGTTCTGGCAACGAAAGTTCAATTTCCTCTGCTGTCGCCTCAACAATCTTGCGTGTCTGCTCGAACACTTGGTCCACACCGAAGCCGTCCACATGAACCTTCTTCAAGTGCAAGACATTAATGTCGTCGTCATAGCCTCCACCCCGCTTCCGCTTCTTGCGCAACTCTTGTTGTCGTCTCGACTGCGATTCGCTCACGCCAGCAGCGACGGGATCGAGGTACTGTTTCGCAGCGGCCAGGAAAGATGCATTAAGTTGAGAAGTAGGCTGCAAAAAAGCGAGGGGGTTTGTGAGCAGACTTGTGGGAGATGTCGCAGCGGCGGGCTGGAGCTCCATTGGGGGCGGAGGGGCCGAGCCCAGGGAGAGCGTGTGCGAAGAAACAGAGGTATCGGGCGAAAAGGAAGGCTGTGCCATCCTATCGAATTGTCGTGGCGGAATGCGGTTGGGAAGACTCGCAGTGCGAAGGCACTGAAGTTCGCGCGACGGCATTCGAACTTTTTTGGTGGAGAAGGTGGTCATAGCGCACGTTAGCTCGACCACCTATCGCACTTTTGATGCATACTATCACAGACGATGAAAGTACGGTTCATTCGAGAAATTTGTAGTGTCGTGAGGTTTTATCAGATATATTATGTGTTCGTAGTTATAAATGCAGAACCTCAAGCTGGCCATAGCAGCGCCGTGCTGATCATGTGAAATGAGTAACAGAAAATCATCGCTGTACTTCTATCCTTCTATCCTTTCCCCCTCCTTCTTCAGCTTCTGGTGTACACTCTTCAACAATTCAAACGTGAGCATAGTCGTAACCGCTGCAGGGACAGCGCGAACCATATTGGTGCCCATTCCGTTGTAGAAGGCTCTCCAACCCTCTTCTTGGAGGATTACGGTGCATGTTCGAAGTATGCCACGATAGCGAGGTATGTTGATCATACCGTCTGAAGAAGCTGTTCCGGGAGGTCGTGTGTGGAGTTGATCGTGGTGTCCTCCTCGAAACGTAATGTGGTTGTCTGAGTGCTCGGGAAGCGCTCGTTGCTGGGTCTGCAGTCGTGTGCGCAAAACCTCATGTGGGTATGTAGCTGATGTCGCAGTCATTTTGCTGAGTACAGTGGCCAATGCAATTGCAAACCAATGCACCTCCTCGGTCTTTGCGTCTGTTTGGCCCATTTCTAGGCCAGTAAATTTCATCTTCAGGAATTCGTATAGTGGAAACTGGATAGCGACGTGTGTGAGTCCAAGCAGAGCTGGCGTCAGTCCAGAGTAGAAGGATATGAGACCTTCTTTGGCATACATCTTTCGGAAGGCGTCAAATGTGTTTTTGTAATGCCATGGCGGCCGATGTTCATCTGATGCACGAGCGCTGACTTGTGACATTAATCTCGTCTTGACAACCCAAATGGGGTTGGTGACTAGGGTCGAACAGCCACCGGCAACTAATGAAGCAATAGTTCGAGCGAGCCATTTATTCTCTGAAAGTCAAGGCTAGTCAGCAATACAAGTTAAAGAGCTTGGAGTGGCTACTGACCCATCTGAGGATAGAGGAGATTCTTGGTCTGGTCGTATGTGCTCATATAGACTGCCCAGGTCGGAATGTAGCCGAGTAGCATGGGCCCGAGGCCTCTGTACAGGCCGCGGATGCCATCCTCGACCCAGATGATGCGCGCAGTGCCACCGAGGCCTTTGTAAACGGTGCGGGGCGGTCCAGTATACTTTCGTGGGCGAAATGAGCCCTGCGCCTGCAATCGCGTCTTGATGACATCAAGCGGGCAGGTGACGATGCCGGAAGCGACGCCGGCAGAAGCCCCGCACAGCGCATTGACGGAGCCGTCAGGAAGATTTGCAACTTTGACGGCCAGTTTCGCAATGGGCGCACTCCAGGTACTCTGCTTGGTGGGTATCGACATGTCGCGCGGTTGGACAGGCCGGGCGGTTGGCGCATACCGGTCGTGGACTTTCGTCGGGGACGGCGGCTCGGGATCGTGTGTCGACATGGGTGGCACTGCGTGTGCCGATTCATTAGAGCCAGTCTATAGACGTAGTTGAAAAGTGGGTGGGTGCGTACAGGCCGTCGTCCCCTTTGCGGTGCCTCAGTGTGCGGAAACCCCGCAGCACTTGAGTAACACAAGAATTAACGATTGTTCGGCTCCATTGACGAGCGGACCAAGTACGGAGTTGTCTCTGAAGGTGCCAGGTCAGGCGACTGCACCAACTATCGCGGGGCGGTTGTCTGGGGCGTGTGGCGAGAGAGAGGGCGGCCTGGGGCGGTGGTGGTGATAGATGTTGTGGTGGTGCAAAGCTTGGTTCTCGATGCGACGTCAGAGCCAGTGTCAAGCACGAGTGAAGCTGCTTGAGCGGGTGGGGACTGCCCGATGGGTGACTAAGCCCCTGGCCCGCCGGCGGCCAAGCTCAGCCTATTGGCTTTCGTTTCTTTCGCATTACGACCTCACTACCTCCGACTGTCAAAACTGCAATTGACGGCAGCATCACGACTCGACATCCCCGATTCGCCGTCGGACCACCGCAACCATGTCTGCGCCGTCTCTCGCCCCCTACATCATGAAGCGCCCGTGGCTGCAGCGCTGGGTGAAGCCCCTCTCCAACTGGTACTGCAACGCCGCTGGCTATAGGCAGCTTGGCCTGAGGTACGGAGCCCCGATACGAACGCCATCTACCGCCGCGGACAGAAAAAGATTCATATGGCGGCGAAAGCAAGGTGTGGAATAATGGGCTGACGGAAATTGCTATACAGGGCCGATGACCTGCTCCCCGAGGAGAACGACACTGTCCAGACCGCTCTCAAGCGTCTTCGACCCCAGGAGGCTTACGACCGTGTCTTCCGTCTGCGCAGGGCTTTCCAGGTACTTTTAGATGAAAAACACAGGAGGATTGGACATCAAGTGGCTAATAGGTCGCAGCTCTCCATGTCCCACCAGCTTCTGCCCAAGGAGGAGTGGACTAAGCCTGAGGATGTAAGGTTACCACTCTGCATGGATATATCAGACGCTAACCGGCAACAGGACGTTCCATACCTCAGCCCCCTGATCACCGATATCGAGGCCGAGATGGCCGAGCGTGAGGACTTTGAGACCATGATTGTCCAGAAGAGGCAGAAGAACGCCGCCAGTGGTCACTAAATCTGTGGCAACGGGTCTGGTATGACCATTTTCGGGCTGGATGGAGCGAGTTTGGGGTTTGTGCAATAGAGTGTACCATACCAATGTCTTTTGTACAGGAATCATCTCCATTGCATCCGAACCATTGTTCCCTTTTTTAGTTTTTGGCACGTGGGAATGATCAATATGATGCCCACCAATACTCTGGATATATTTTCGGACATGCGACAAAGTGGCCTATGAGAACCCGTCCCGGGAGTAGTGTCATGGTTATGGGGAAATGTTGCGTCGTCTATGTGAAATACATTTCTGCCTATTTTTTTGGTGGCTTCACTTGCACATAGGTACTTTCTATGTATCACAAGCTGTCGGAGTCGACACGACTGTGCAGGTGGCGACTTTTATCGATGCGACGGTGCAAATACGGATCTACGCATCATAGACTACAGCTAAACACACGACCAATATGTTTATCCTCAAATAATCTCAACTCCATTGGAAATCCGGTACAGCAATTCATGGAAAACGCGTATCAGTAGCATTTTGATATTTACGGCCTAAATTCATGCTGATATATCTAGACACAGTTTCAAAGTGCATAGACTGCAAGCACGAGGATATGTCCCCGAGCATCATGTAGAACGAAACAAAACAAAGAGCCTTTTACTGATTGAAGCAAGAAGACGAGATACGACACGTATGATTGTTGCTTCCTTCATGTCCCTACCCACACTCTGTTCATATTTCGTCATCATCAGTACCAGAGGTACAAGATGCATCTAGAGAGATTGACAATCACAACTCCATCACCTCCTGTCCATCAGAATCCACCTCTCCTCCATCGCCATCGTCCACATCCACCCTCGTCAAATTCACCCTAAACGCAGACAACTCCAATGTCCCAAACGATCCATCCTCGCGCTCATCCCAAAATACCACTCCATTAAACGGTATACCCGCATAACTCGTCGTTTCATAGTTCTCCACACAAAAGTCATCCCAGACACCCCCCGTACCTTCGCCCCGCTCCTCAGCAAGCATGCCGCGCCACTCTTCTCCAAGCGCCCTCTCCTCGTCGCGATACAAAAGCGTCGGACTCAACTGAATATAAAATTGCGATGGTGCAAAGGTCCTGACAACAGGCGAGTCATACATATTCGTCCCGTTCGAAATCCAGCGCGTAACCACCAACCCCCGATGATCTGCTTTAAGCGTAACCGTAGAGTTGAGCTTGGAATCGACAACGGCGTATGTACCAGCGTAGCGTTCGTTCAGCTGGCGAATGGCGAGTTTCTCAGCTGCGCGGATCAAAGTGACAGTGATTACTTCTCTAAGCGTAAAAAGTACACTACTGGGCCCAGCGACGAGAATCGTAATGCCCAAGTCGTATTCTGGTACGGCCATGATGACAGAAGTATAGCCGGGGAGACCGCCACCTTTGGTAATGAAGCGAACCATCCGTTTCGAGTCGGCGAGGATACGGTCTGTGTGGAATATTTCCCAGGGTATGCCGTAGAACGAGTTCAAGCCTCGTGAAGGCGAGACGGGGTTGATCCAATTGATTGCGGGTGTCACTGCATTAAAGTGCGTTAAGACGTAGCGGAGGAACTTGGACAGGTCGGTAGAGGAGCTGTATATACCGCCTGTAGGGTTTTGGACACCTTCGTCTACGTCCCAGAAATGAGGACCTGAGGGGATTACGCCGGCGGAGTCGGGGGGGAGAGAGAAGGTGCTTTTGGACATGTTCAAGGGCATGAATATGGCTTCGTCGATATATGATTCGTAAGTTTGGTTTCGGACATGTGAGAGGACGAGTCCGAGGATCTCATAGGCGATGTTGGAGTAGGTGGATGCTTGATTTGGTGCGAAAAGTGGGCGGAATTTCTTGAGCTGGTTGAACAAATCTATACAGAACTTAGTTGGTGAGGTATTATTTTTTCTTACTATCAGAAGGCCAACCTTTCCCAGTGCAAGGTGTCTCATAATTCGGCGAATACTCATCGCACGCTGGTAAGCCCGCTTTGGAAACATCAGGCGGCAAGCCCGCCTTGGCGAGATCAAAATCCTGATGGATGAGATCGCTCTGTGCCCCTAAGAAATCAAATCAGCTTTTGCTTACCTCGATCGTTATGGCATGCTTGAAACATGGTGCGGTTTTTGTTATCGGACACCTTACACTCGCGTGGGATGCCGCTGAGCTGGCTGGCTAGGCTACGCAGCGTGATATCCTTCCATGGAATGCCACCATCCGACCTGTCTCCCAATTCCTTCAGATATGTATTGACCGTCTCATCCAAACTCACATTTCCAGCTGTGTGTTGATAAAGAACCCCTAGAACAGTAAAAGCTTTCGTTATGCTAGCGATGCGGTATAGTGCATCGCCATTGACTTGAGGGATATCCGGACGTGAAGCATTGCGCTCGCGCGCCGTGTGGTGTTGCGACCAGAGTGTTTCTTTTGAAGAAGTAATTTCTATAGAAAAAGAGGTTCGGTCGAATTCTGGTGCTGTGATAGCTACCGTGAGTGCCTTGTTTATCGACTCGAATACTTCTTGGAGGAGAGGATCATGAGCATCGTATCTAGGCGGAGGATGCGCAATATTGGGCTCGAAACACCCTGCGCTTGCGAATGCAGCTAGCAACGGGGTAAAAAGAAGTACTCGCATTGTTTTCAGGGTGGAATGTTTCCAAGAAGTATCGTCAATACAATAAATGCAAGTGCGGGTTGTTGTATGACATCTCCACGTCATACTGAGGGACTGTTGCCTTGTGGCTTGACTGCAATCGGCAATGCAAGCGGTTTCGCCAAATCCCTCCTACATCCCCGCGACACATACCCATTCTATTGTTTCTTTTGGAACTATCTCACGTGATATCTCTTCTTGGAAAGCCTAGGTTCTGTTACTTTTATGATCCTTGGTTGTATCAATGTGGAGAGGTATGATCACGTGTAATAACATGAGCCAGGTCCATAACGGCAGCACCAATATATATTCATGTGTTCTAGGTTGTTCTCAGTAAGCTTGAAATGACGTGCTTATCCCAGTGTCACTACCGCCAGTCTGGAATTGTATAATTGATAAGTAAGAAATAGGAACCGTCAGATGGAAAAGCAATACCATGATCCATACCGTAGCTACCCATCAAGCTCAAACTCTATAACCAGTCTCATATCTTGTGGTTTATCTTATATTATGGTACCGAGTGGGTATATATTGACTTCCAAAAACAGTGCTGAGTGGACATTTTTGCCAAGAGAGTCACTTTATGTTTCACACCTTCATTGAGTAGACGGATGCAATTGTAACCAGGGCCAAAGCACGACAGCGCTGAGGGGAGTGGTCAGGGGTAATTTTGCAGCAAGTGAAGTATGCCTAAAGTGCCAAGCTATGCAGATATACGGAAGGCAAGAAAATTAGAGGTTGGTCTATCGCTTTACTTTCTTTTGATTCAGTTGGATTTGTGGGTAATGAAGATATGCTTTAGGCCACATGAACTTGTCCGCCGGCAATCACAATCTATCACTTGATTTTTCAACGGGTCGTGTTTTACATGGCTTAGCTACCCCCCGAAAATAATTCTGATACGGTTTCAGATTCGTGAACACACCCTGTGGGCATCCGGGGCCTCTGATTGCTTTTTCGCCAATTTAGCGCTCAGAAACCAGGACGGAAAATTTGAATTCTCACGCTATTTTGTTATTGGTAGGCAATATGTTGAATTTATACTTACCAAAGCCGTTAAAAATTCTGCCGATCATTCCATTATGAGAATGCAAAGTATGTCAAGATTCTTGATATGTCAGCGCCACGCGATCATGTGCTCAGGCGTCAGCTAGGCTGAACACAAAGAAGCCCCCCATCATGTAACGCGTCAAGCTCGCCATTTCTAACATCAACTATTGAGCCCATGCTTTTTGGGAGCACCATAGCACTACAAACGCTGAAACACACCGTACGTCGTCGCAACCCCTGGCCAACTGCGCACTCACCGTATGACGTCAGGGTCTATTCACTAGAATAGCCAACATCCGTTGGAACATCTACAAGTCACAAACCATGTCTCTAAGACGCTCTGCACGCGTCGCAAGTACTACTGTAACAAAATTAGCAGATTCAAGTAGTCAAAATGGCGTTGCAAAGTATGAAAAGGCCGACAAATCAAATGCAACGGCAAAGAAGCGCAAGACTTCGAAAGCCGCGCCCAAGTCGCAACCACCTGGCGATGTATCAGAGAAGCCTGGAGCCAAAGAAAACACCAACGGAACCATAGAACAGCCAATTCCGGATATCGAATCCCCATCTGACCCCGTAACGCCTCTTCCAAAGAAACGCAAATCGAAGCCAACTGCAGAATCGCCAATAAAGCCAGTCCCTTTTACACCCACTCCTGCAGCCGTCACGCTTCTCTCAAAAGGCCGAACGGACTTCGACCACCCACTGGACGATCTTTCCACCCTGCAACCCCGTCCCGCAGAACCACATGCCACAAACGCACCCCTTGCAACACCAAACGGCTCCCACACCGTCCAAGCCTACGGATCCTCACCGGTTAAGCCCGAAGACGCAACACCCGCTCGCAAGCGCAAAGCTAAAGAAGTGGTACCTCCGGATGTGGGGGCGATCCCCAGTGCAAGCACGAACATCGATCGCTTGCTGAAAGACGCAGAAGCGCATTTAGTGAGCGTAGACCCCAAGTTGAAGACCCTCATCGAAAAACACCATTGTAAGATTTTCAGTCCAGAGGGACTACGAGAAGTCGTAGATCCGTTTACAGCACTGAGCTCTGGGATTATTGGACAACAGGTACGTGCTTCCAACCATCTCTTCCAAGAAACCCACAATGTCAAAAAGGAATCGTATACACAGCGGACAACAACTAACACCAACCCCAAACAGGTCTCAAGCGCAGCCGCCGCCTCCATTCGCTCAAAATTCACAGCCCTCTTTCCTTCCACCCACCCTTCCTTTCCTTCACCCTCCCAAGTTCTATCTCTCCCCTTACCTACCCTGCGTACAGCGGGGTTATCCCAGCGCAAAGCAGAATATATCCAGGGTCTTGCTGAGAAATTCGCCTCAGGTGAATTATCCGCTGAGATGCTAGTCAGCGCCAGCGACGAAGAACTGATTGAGAAGCTTGTCGCAGTACGGGGATTGGGGCGCTGGAGTGTGGAGATGTTTGCCTGTTTTGGGCTCAAGAGGATGGATGTTTTTAGCACGGGAGATTTGGGTGTGCAGTACGTTTTATTTTCTTTTTTCTTTCCCCGTCTCTCTTTGTTTTCTAGTTACGAACTCTGCGTGTAAGAGTTTTTTTTATTTTCTCTTTCTTCGCTTCTTTTTTTCCCGAAGGAAGTATGGGGGAAAAGAAGCTAATTTGGGGTTTTTGCAGACGCGGCATGGCCGTTTACGCCGGCCGTGATGTGAGTAAACTTAAGAACAAAGGTGGGAAGTGGAAGTATGTATCCCCCTCCTTCCCCTTCATACTTCAGAGGGTAAATACCAAGGCGTGGCTTCTCACCAAAATTTAGATATATGAGCGAGCAAGAAATGCTTGCTACAGCTGCCAAATTCTCGCCGTATAGGTACGTAGTATCTCTTCTTTTTCCTCATATGATATCTTTCTTTACGAGAATTAGAGAAACTGATGGTATCCTTTCTAGATCACTCCTCATGTGGTACATGTGGCGCATAGCCGATGTCGATGTCACTGTCTTGCAAAAGTCGTGATGATCTCGCGATGTCTCGTCAATTTTGTGTGGAATGATGGAATAGAGGTACTAGCATCATGACAGCAGACTTCCATTCTTTTTTCCTTATCTTTTTTCACTCTTGCCCCCTGGTTTGCAATCTAGCGGGTCGTGCGTGTGCGTTTGTGCGTGTTTTTTTTTGTGGAGAAGGGACGGTTCTTGATGTGCTTGTTTTGTGGAGAAGAAAGGGTTCCTGATGTGCGTATGATGTGTAAAAGTGTGGGTTTTATGGGTCAGGTAGAAGCAGGGTTTTTTTTCTTAGGTTTCTTGGGAGTTCTGACGAGGAAAAGATCGATTGCATATGACTATCAGTCTGTTGATCAGCAGATGATCAATGGTTGTTGACCAGGTCATTGGGACTTTTTTGATGGAGACGTCGACTTCTTGGCGTGGAGATGGCGGAGTGGTGATATTTTATATGGAGCTATCATTAGATTCGGCAAAAGATACCCACGTGCAAACATGTGATCAACTCCAAAGTGCCACCCTCAATGCCAGACTTATTCAAGTGGACAAATCAGAACACAAGATCCCTTTTTCGTATACGCAGATGCCACGGCGGCGCCGCTAGCATCGTCATTGCCAGATGGGAATAGGGGTGAGACGGCATCATCGGTAGCAACCGTCAATAGTTTGTCTGTGTGGAACTTCAAAGCGTCGTACCGGCAAAGCAGCAGAGTAAGCAAGTGAAATTGCGAAAAGCTTAAGGCGAGCAAAAGGCTTGATCTAGCCAAGATAACGTGAGCGTGAGCATGAGCCGCACTGCCGCTCGAAAGACATCGTTGCCTGCCATCTTTGCTGGACCCTCTTGCTGAAGAGGGATCCGGATAGTAAAATGACCATAGCTTGATGTGTGCTTTGGTTGCCACCAGTGTATCACATTGATATCTGTCGGCTGCCTTGAAAAAGGGTTCCTCCGTGAGGCATGCTGTACCTCGTTCGTCCGGCGCTCGAGACTTGAGCTACATGGTCCGCTTACCCGAGAATTCTCATCGTAAAGTTTATATCGGAACACGACCCTTGAATTGAACTATGCAGGGCATTGTACAATATGTTTGGTAAGGCAACCTTGCAACTAAAAAAACAAATTCGGGTAAAAGGTTGAGCGCAAGCAAAGATTTGTGACCCAGACTATGTTGAGTTTGTTGTGCAAGTATCGTACTAGGTGTAATGGCCAATTGAAAGGGAAATGGTCTGTGGGCCTAGGTAACTTTTCTAGAACAACTATCATCGTTTAGCTGGGTAAGACAAGTACTGTGCTGTGTGCTGTGTCATGTTGAGCTGCAAGTGTACATAGATGATCTCTTGAGCATGACACGCACAGTCATGTAGTCGGGCCTTGTTGCACTAAAACAATCGGCACATCCGGTGTAGGTCCTTCCTACAGACACCTAGACTTGAATAGCCATTAGGTGTTTGCCGAGGAGCCACTTTTGATATTAAAGGAGATTTGAGTTCCCCGCCGGGTCATGTTTCTTTCTTTCGGTGTGCTTAAAATGACAGCGCGGCTAACAGTGGATGCAAGGCAGATTACGGGGGATGAACGTCAACAGAAAGCAGTGGGAGCGTCAAGATCCGGGCATGGTGGAGGATGTTTGTTGTCTTGGCCCGAGACCATGTAAATCATATGTTGGAATTGCCATGCGGTTGCTTTGTTGTGGTGGCATGTGCACCAGGTTGCGGCGAAAATAGAGATGTTGAAACAAAGGAAACTTGTTGTCGCGACAAAAACAAGACCGAGTGTGTTGCGCATGAGCCTGTGCAAGCTTTGCGACCGACTTGGCGCTTTCTAGAATATCTTGGATGTCGAAACAAGAAGCTGGCGGCAGCGATGTCATACCTGTCTACTTGTTTCAGCGAGTAGCGGGATACGAAGCGGAGAGGGCGTGGGCTGATGTCGAGGGATGGGGCTCGGCATGGGAAATGAGACATCAATCAATGCGGGTCTTGTAATTTGCTTGGCGGACACTGGCGAGGCTGTTCTTCGGGGAGAGGGAATCGATAAGCGAGTGGATGCAGTTGTGAGCAGTGTGAACGCCTCGGGGAAAGGAAATGAGGCTGCGGGCCTCGATGATGCAACTGGGCGCGGGAACGGTAAAGGAGGCGGCTGCACGATAGCGCAAAGCAGCAGGAGGGCCCAAAGCGGTCGCCGGGGGAGGGAGAGGAAAGAATAATAACACAGTTTGTTGGCCGTGTTATTGGTGTTGAGGGAGGGTGGAGATTGCAACGGGCAGGCTAGCCAGATGAGGAGCGGATGTAACCGCATTGGAGCGATTGGAGAGGCGCTCGAGACCGACGTCAGGGGGGAGCCGGCCCAGTCGAGGCCGCGTAAGAGGCAACTGCTTGTTGTGTTTCGCATCGGCCTCGACGGTGGCAACTGTGGACAGTGGCTGCCCGTTGACTTTTTGCACTACAGCACAACGTGCCGCCCATCCGCCTGTGTGGGTGCAATTGGCAACTGGCAGTGGTGAGGTGCGCACAAAGAATGGACGTGGCAGGCGGCTAGCGGAAGAGGGCGCATCATGGTCGCGTCGGGGCTGCTAGAGGACTACTAGCAAGGAGGGCGAGGGGCGATGCAGACGCTACCCTGGATGCGAGGCCCGCACATGGTGGATAATACAGGATTTGGATGCTGCTTGCACTTGTTTGCGAGGGATAACGGGGCGGCCGTGCAGAGGGTGAAATTGGGACCGACGCCGCGGGCATGCTGGGCCCTCTCTAGGGTAGGTGAGTGGATAGTAGTGTACTTGGTGACAAAGAGAGGTGGGTGGTGTGGGTGGCACAGTCTTACACGGGAGCCGTGAGAGAGGGCAGTGTACTGTGGATGTAAGTAGTAAGGAGCACATGGGGTCGGTCGACAGACAGACAGACAGGATGCGGCCAGTGGCAGTTGTTTTCCTCGATGGCCCTGCACATGGATGGCAGTGGTTGTTGTCGCCGTCGCCGTCGCCGTCGCCGTCGTCGTGGTAGCAGTCACAGTGTGAGTGGCGCCAGGCGGGCAAGCATCCATGGTGCGTCTGCGGCATTGACTGCGTCCAAAGTGAGCATCGATGATGCTGGGCACCCGCCCAGGCCGCCAATGATCGTCGGCGCAACCACTAGCGCCGCCCCCTAGCGCCGGCCGCGTCTGGCACCATCGCGCTCCCCTTTTCTCCATGCTCTCGCTCTTGTTTGCAAAGTCCTTCTTCTCCTTGTCTTCATCCACTCGCTCTTGACGACCGCGCCTTCTCCAATCGCGCCACTGGGACTATTCCATTTAATACTGCCTGCTTTTCTAGTTAATTCTTCCTCTCGCTCCAGCTCCCGCACCCGCTCCCACTTCTCCTCAGCGTCAGCGCCCACCACACTGAAACGGTGCGAGCAGTCTTAACATCCCAGGTACGTAACTGTCGCAGCTTTCGCCCGACTCCACTCTCTGTCTCGACGCGCCCGCTTACATTTACTCGCAGTTACCGTCCTGCTTCAATTACACAACAAAAAATGCCTTCCATGCTCAAGATCGCTGCCCCGGCCCTCGTCGCCGCCAGCACTGCCTACGGTACGTGTTTGCTTTCTCAACAAGACGTGATTGATTGCGCGGCCTCGCTAACTAGCTCCTCCAGCCGCCTGCAGCGTTTCCGCAACCACCACCATCCAGAATGCTGGCGATGCCACTGCCCTGGCCACTTGCTCGACCTTCTCGGGTAACATCGCCATTGCTACCGGCACCACCGACGACATTGCCATCAATGGTGTCAAGAAGATCACCGGTAACCTGGTCGCCCAGGACAACTCCAACATGAAGCAGATCAGCGCTAGCGACCTCGAGACTCTTGATGGAACCATGAACCTCCAGGGCCTCACCTCCCTCTACGCCTTGAACTTCCCCAAGCTCAAGACCATCGACTCGATCCAGTGGCAGGCGCTCCCCAATCTCCAGGAGATTGGCTTCACCTCTGAGGTCACCAAGGCCGACAAGATCGATATCCAGAACACTGCCCTCCGCTCGCTTAAGGGTATCAACATTGAGGAGGCTGATGAGATCTTCATCGCCAACAACGGCTACATTGACTCCATCTCCATGCAGCTTGGTAACGTCTCCACCTCGCTGACCCTTGCCGACAACAACGAGGCCGTCAAGGTCGAGCTTCCCAACCTCATCTGGGCTAGCAACCTGACCTTCCGTTTCTGCGGTTCCGTCTCCGTCCCTTCCCTCGAGACCCTCAATGGATCTCTCGGTCTCTACAACAACGGGTTTGAGACCTTCTCTGCCCCCAACCTGACCAGCGTTGGTGAGGCCGTTGCTATCGTCGCCAACGAGCAGCTCAACAACATCTCTTTCCCTCTCCTTACCAAGATCAATGGTAACATCCAGATTGCCAACAACTCCAAGCTCGTTGAGGTCGACGGCTTTCCTCAGCTCAAGAGCATTGGCGGTGCTTTCGACATGAGCGGTAACTTCAGCAAGTAAGTACATGTCGTGCGACAATGCAAAAAGTCCTTGCTAATGAATTTTCAGGGTCTCTACTCCCAAGCTCGACAGCGTCAAGGGTGCCTTCAACCTCCAGTCGTCTGCTCAGCTCAACGACACCTGCGACTTCTACAAGGACCTCCACTCCAAGAAGCTCATTCAGAGCAAGGACTACACCTGCGAAGGAACTCTCATCGACCCCGGTCAGCAAGGACACGACCCCACCAAGCAGAGCGGAAGCGGAAGCAGCGGCCAGAAGGGCGCTGCCAGCTCGCTCAGCCCTGTCAATGGTGCTCTTGGCCTCGCCGCCATGGTCGCTGTTCTCTTCTTTTAAGCAGGCTGATGACGCTGGCGTTCACCGTATCTCATAGACTACCCCCCCAAGGATTTGACTCTTTTTTTGATAGCGTACAGCATCGAGCAGAAACGGGCGTGAAGCCCGCGTCCAGCTTCTGAGGACTGGAGGAGAGGGCTTGTGGGGATGGTTCATGGATCAGCATGTAACAATTGTATGTATTGTTTGGCTAAAAGGGTCGAGGCAGACATTTAATCCGCAGTATATCTAAGTCTGCCGAGCGACGTGGGGCGTAGCAGTGCCTCGAGGATGGTTTGGTTTGGGATAGTTCATGCAGTCATTCTCTTCATTTATTTTTGTTCATAAGTTACCCCGTGGAGTTGAGCGTGCAAATGGCTAAAAGTTGAATTCAAGCCTTTTCGGTCCGAGACGAGCCATGCATATTTCTGTGTGCAAGTGTGTAACGACCGTTTGTCTGTGCAGCAATCATGTGCCCGGCCGGTTTTGCTGTAAAATGAGGCTCTCCCTTTATTATCTCTGACTAGGAACTGCTTGTGACAAGTGCGACACGTTGTAATCAATCTGATGACGTACCTTGATATAGCAGACTCAGCCAAGTGTAAGTATTCAGGCTTGGAATGCCGTGCTGTTCAAAAGGAAGAATAAGTAAATAAACATTACGTAGTTGTTTTCGTATTTAGGCCTAACCTCCATCACATGCTTGAGCCCTCCTTCTTCTTCTGCGGGTTGCAAGCTTGGGCGCATGCTTTCATTCCATACCCACAACAGCAATAACAACAACAACAACAACTAGACACTACAAACTGGCTACCACGTCCGACATCTGGGTAGATAAGACTGGGAGCAAAGGAACATCCGTCTTCTTGGTAGGAGCCACGGTACCAGACGAGCGGCGGGTGGCTGTCAGCATGGACAAGGGATCCCGAGATAACTTTGGTGCTGACAAGACGGCTTGCCCATGGCGACGACTGCGACGGACGGGATGTTTTGAGGCTGCACAACAAATCAGCCCAGGTTGGGTGAAGTCTGGTACGGTACACAGTAGAGTGAAGGGACATGAGGGTGACTGATCTCATTTCTGAGTCGTCGTCATCAGTGGACCTATGGCGATTGATCTACAGTTAGCGTCATTTTGCAATTGCACATGGTGCTTGCGCTGAATGCACTCACAGCCATGGTTGCACTTGCCTCGCAACACCAAGCGCGCCTGTCGTTTGCCTATCGCCCTTTCCTTATCTGCCGGCCAGTGACAGTCCGGGCCCCATAGTTAGCGACCTCTTGTCCACGTCTGTCGCTTCCGCCCTTACCAATTGAGCATCGTGCGACGTCACCTCTAAACATCCACCCACATAGTCGGACTGTCACTGCCCTCAGCCCTTCGCGCCCCAGGCGCCCCAGTCCGCCAAACTGGAGCAATCACACCCGCAATCGCCCCGTCACTCGCAACGGGAGACGCCCAACACCGACACGGTGAGAGCACGCAGCTCTTCAATACGCCTGTCCCAGGCCAGAGGGGACCAGCCCGAGGATAAGGACAACGCAGCCAGATACCGACTCAACATGCTTGCCGGCAAAGGATACTCGTGGAAGGCCGCCCAGGCAAGACTGCCACCCTCGCGCCAAGTCCTGCATACGGCGCGCAACCCCAGATTCCTGCTGTCTCTAGGTCTCTTGACAGCTGTTATCTTGCTATGGCGTTCTATGGGCTCAGCCACCGGCGAGTTGCAGAGGTACGCTATTCCTATCCATGGCTCCACACCAGCACCAGGGTAATGCCCGTGGCCTCATATGTCCGTCATTAATACCCTCGCCTCAGGTTCTACTGCTTCGGCCCCTCCAAACCACCCATGCACATGTCACCAAACGAGAACGAAGACTGGCATGCTCACTTGACTACGCCCGTTGTATTCAACCACCACAAGCCAATCGAGGTCAATGCCACCGATATTCAGCACGTAAACCTCAACTCAATAAAATCTACTCCGAACGCGGTTAAGAACAAGGAGCGCGTCTTGATCCTTACCCCACTCCGAGATGCGTCTTTCTATCTGCCCAAGCACTTCGATCTCCTCGCCCAGTTGACATACCCTCACGATTTGATCGATCTGGCATTTCTCGTTGGCGACACCACAGATGATACCGTGGCGGTACTGGCCAAGGAGCTGGAGAGGATACAGAACAATCCAGAGATAGCGTTCAGGTCAACCATGATTGTCGAAAAGGACTTTGGTGTAACTCTCTCACAGAGTGTCGAGGATCGCCACGGCTTCGAGGCTCAGGGACCGCGGCGGAAGGCGCTGGGTAGAGCGAGAAACTACCTACTTGCAACTGCCTTGAAGCCTGACCACAGCTGGGTATACTGGAGGGACGTGGACATTGTCGACAGTCCGTCTAAGATCATTGAGGATTTTGTTGCACATGATCGCGATGTGCTTGTTCCCAGTGAGCAATTTGTCAATAAGAGTCGAAGCGCAGGAATTCTGACTGATCGCAGATATCTGGTTCCACCGATACAAGGAAGAAAATGGCAAGAAGGTTGACATTGAAGGGCGATGTAAGATATATAGCCTGCTGGGTCACATTAACTTTTACTAACGAGAATAGTCGACTACAACTCTTGGCAGGAATCCCCTGAAGGTCTTAAACTTGCAGCTTCTCTGGACAAGAACGTTGTCCTCGCAGAAGGTACATATGACCTCTTTTTTCTGTTGTCAGCACCATCCTAACTTTATCCAGGTTACAAGCAATACCCTACCCACCGCAAGTACATGGCCAAAATGGGCGACTGGCGCGCAGACAAGGACGAGGAAATACCCCTCGACGGTGTCGGTGGTGTCAACATCATTGTAAAAGCAGATGTCCATCGTTCGGGGATCAACTTCCCTTGCTACGCCTTTGAGAACCAAGCGGAAACCGAAGGCTTTGCTAAAATGGCACGCAGAGCGGGTTACGGTGTCTATGGACTGCCAAATTATGTCGTCTGGCATATTGACACGGATGAGAAGCCTGGAAATGCTTAGACGAGAAGAGCTATCTTTGCTGTGTCTGTTATTGGCATAGGGAAAGGGAATGGAAGAGAGGAGAAAGCATATACCCAAGGGAGTCGGGCGCACGCATTGATTGTATGGCTTGGGCTTTGGGGGAAAAGGACGCATCTGGTGATACCTGTATGAGTAACTACTGATGGATGAAATGGGCTATTACCTCTGTTTTTTATTGGTTTTTTTTCTGCAACTTTCCAAAGGACTGGTTTGAGAGTTTAAAGTTTTGGGCAAACGCATAGAGCATTTTGTGTAGCAGCAGGTGGTTAGTGAATAGAACGTATCAAGTTGGAATCATCCAGTGAGCCTTCGCATTGATCTTAAATCCCAAAGTTCACGTCACACGACCAAGCATACATGCGAATGCCATGTTAACATGACGTGCATATTCCGGCTCCCCACTTATTTTTCTATCGTACATACGAAGTTTCTTAGCGCCATTGTAGAATACATGTTACTCTCTCCTCACATCCCTTTTTCAAACGCACATGCATCTCACGCTCTCACACTTGTATAACTAACTCGCCCCTTCACACACACACACACTCTCTCTCTCTCAAACTGAGAAAAAAACATGAGGGTGTATACCAGAAAGTCCAAGGAAGAAAGCAAGAAAGAAAACCTTAGAGCGTAAATATCGCCAAGCCCCATCCATCCAAACTTTGCATCGTAGAAAAAAAAAGTATCTCTTAATAATCATAAATACCGGCATGAAACTTACGCTCATCATAGTACTTAGCGCGAATCTTCCTGCCTCTAAACTCCCAGCCTTCGTCGAAGCGGTTGACGGCATTGAGGGCGCTGAGGACGGATTGGAAGTGGATGTATACGACGCCGTCCTTGTTGTTTTCGTCTAGCTGCACGTGCTCGACCGGGCCAAACTTGTGTAATGTTAGTCTATCAGGTCCAAAGAGTACGCGTCTTCGGAGAAAAAAAAGCCTACCTTGTTGCTAAACGCCTCACCCATATCCTGGCGGATACCGCCGTCGTTGCGATCAGCGTTGGCGTCCCAATCAACGCCATCTACGCAACCCCAAGTAACCACGACAGGCGACTCCTCGCCAAACTTTCCAGGCTCATCTTTCTGATTGCGTGCGCCGCCGCGAACATCCCAGACTTGTTGTGATTTGACCTTGCCGCCTTCATCGTCAAAAGTACTGGCTCCCTGCGGAACTTTGCGCATCTTGACTTCCAGGTGGGTGACCACTCCGTCATTATTTTTACCCAGACCCTGGCCCTTTTTGTATCCCATCTTGGCCATCATCGCTTCTGCCTTGCTGATCTTGGGACGCTTCGATGGACGTTCTTCTGGGGTTGGCTCATCGTCGAGATCTTCCATTGGAACGTCAGGACGCTCGTAACGAACTGGTGGCGCTGAGATGGTCGCGTTCGCGTAGCGTATGGGTGGCGCAGATATAGTGGCACCTTGGTAGGTTGAAGATGTCGGCACAGAAGTAACTGGTGGTGGAGGCGGAGGTGGAGGCGTGTGTTCACTTGTAGCTGCAGGAGGAGGCGGAGGATATCCGGGCGCAGACTCGTGCGCAGAGGGAGACGGCGCACTGTTTGGCTGCATGCGGCGAGCATAGGCATCGTCTCCAGAATGTTCAGAGGGCGGCATTACAGGGGCATCATCGTAGGAGGCCGGCGGGGCAAATGATGGTCTGGTGGGCACTGCAGCTGGAGCTGGGCTAGACGAAGAGGCTGAACGGGAGCCGTTCAAGGGTTCGCTCTCATTACGAGATCTGTGCTGAGCAGCAGCCCCTCGCAAGAATGCGTTGAAACCCTCCTTCTTGCGCTGGTAGCCACCGCTCGCCCTGTAAGCTCGCAGATTGGAATATCGCTCGGGCTTGTGAGGCGCCTGTGGATTCCACTGGCCGAACATCTTATTGAACTTTTTCTGTTCCTTCTTTCTCTGCTTCTCCTCATAGTTGCGCATTCTCCGTTCTTCCAGAATGGTGGCATCATCGTCAGCGGTACTCCGGTAGTAGTCGATACCGTGCTGTTGGGGGTTGGCGGCAGCGGGTCCAGGGCCTGAAGAGGAGACTGGGGCAAGTGCAGGCATGGTAGGCTTCTTGACTGTTGTGCCGGGCTTCTTGGCTTGGTTTTTCGCCTGAGGGCGCTTGATGTTGTGTGGATTATGAAAAGCTGCACATTTGCATGAGTCGTGCGTCAAGGTCAAAGTGTGGAGCAGTTCAGGTAGCTACCAGGTGCTTTCTTCTGTTGTTCAGCCTTGGCCTGCTCCTCGGTGTACTTGACAGGCGCAGCAGAGATGGTGGCCGAGGCATATGGATTGGGAAGGCCCCTCTGGGCATACGGGTTCGGCAGGCCGGCACCCTTCTGCGGCGGTGGAGATGCCATGGTGTGGTGATGCACAAGCAGGTGCGGCTATGCGCAAGGACGCGTTCTGCGGTGTTTGTTGGTGTCGCGGAGGGGAAATGAATATTACACAGCCAGTATTTTCTTAACAATGGTGTCGCGACAGGAATGTCATGACCAGCAGAGGTGGTGGTGTCGATAATATGGCGGCGGCGGCGGGGGTTGAGGTTGTGGTAAGAGATGGTGGAGTCGGCAAGGCGGCATGCGGCTCGCGTCTCGGTGCAGGCACCCCACGCTAAGGCATTAGCTGCATTACGAATCACTTTCAGGAACGACTATTACCGTCCCGTCTTGCCAGTGCTCCTGACTCCAACATCCAATAACGGTCCTTTAAAGACGACAGTAGACACATCCGAGCAGGCTTCGGTGTTTGTATAGAATCCTATAGATATTTGCTTTGCGCGCCATAAACCAAAAAGGTACACCCGCATAAACCCTCCCCTGCTATGTACTGAACCATTTCGCTGATCGCGTATCCTAGATCCAACTTGTAATCACAATGTCTCCCACTACCTTGGAACAAGCCTTTTCCAAGGATTCATCATCAACCGCCATCATCGTCCCCGGTGCGCCAGCTTTGACTGTTTCGTACAAGAAGTTGGCCGCAGATGTGAAGGCGTTCCAGCAGCAACTGGCCAAGGTCGGCGTATCTGCCGAGGCAGCTGTGTCCATTGCGCTGCCCAACACGTACGAGTTTATCGTGTCCTTCATCGCTGCATCTTGGCAGAGAGCCATCGCTGCCCCGTTGAACCCAGCCTACAAGCAGTCCGAGTTCGAGTTCTACATCGATGACCTGAGCTCGGCGATTGCGCTCGTCCCCAAAGGCGCGTTTGCTCAGGATGCGGCAGCGGTCCGAGCTGCGAGGAAATACAATGCAGCGATTGCAGAGTGCTACTACAACGGCAGCGAGGTTGTCTTGGACGTAAAGGAGGCCGGAAAGCTCGCGGGTAAAACCTCGCCAGTTCTCTCGGCGCAGCCTGAGGATGTCGCACTGGTACTGCACACCAGCGGCACAACTGGACGTCCCAAAGCTGTTCCACTTACGCACCGCAATCTGTTGCGCACCATGAAGAACGTCCAGGCCACCTACGAACTGTCCCCCAAGGATCGCACTATGTTGGTTATGCCTCTCTTCCACGTCCACGGTCTTCTCGCTGGCTTCCTTGCTCCCTTGGCGTCTGGCGGCTCTGTCATTGTGCCACTCAAGTTCTCTGCCTCTGAGTTCTGGAAAGACTTCCAGGAGCACAAGGCAAATTGGTACACGGCTGTTCCCACCATTCATCAAATCCTGCTGAAGAGTCCTCTCCCAAGCCCCATGCCGCATATCCGTTTCATCCGATCATGCTCCAGCCCACTTTCCCCAAAGACGTTCCACGAACTTGAGAAGGCACTTAACGCGCCCGTCTTGGAGGCTTATGCCATGACTGAAGCCTCGCATCAGATGACTAGCAACCCTCTTCCACCAGGCCAACGCAAACCTGGCAGTGTGGGAATTGGTCAGGGTGTCGAGGTTAAGATCCTCGACGATGCTGGTAACGAGGTACCGCAGGGTAAAGAAGCAGAAATCTGCATCCGAGGCGAGAACGTTACCAAGGGGTATCTCAACAACCCCTCCGCTAATGCTTCATCTTTCACAAAGGGTGGCTTTTTCCGCACTGGAGACCAAGGCAAGAAAGATGCCGACGGTTATGTCATCATCACTGGCCGAATCAAAGAGTTGATCAACAAGGGTGGTGAGAAGATTAGCCCAATTGAACTTGATAACGTCATCGCGCAGCATCCCGCCGTCTCCGAGGCTGTGAGCTTTGCTGTTGAGGACGAGATGTACGGCCAAGATGTCGGCCTGGCAATTGTGATCAAAGAGGGCAAGGCACTCTCTGCCGGAGAGCTGAAGACATGGTTGACAGACCGTGTTGCCAAGTTCAAACTACCAAAAGAGGTACGCCAACATGCCAACCCCAAACATTATCCGGAACATTCTCTAACATTGTGTAGATATTCTTCACCGATATCATGTATGTGGACGTTAGCCTTAGAGTTGAAGAATGCACTAACCACCCCCTTCTAGGCCCAAGACTGCGACCGGCAAGATACAACGACGTCTTGTCGCCGAAGCTATGCTCAAGCAGAAACAACCCAAGCTATAGTCGTTCTTCTGGCCAATTTCAAGAATCTGCTTCTTTTTGGGCATTACTATGCAAAGAACGTTTCAAGTTGTGTTTTCGAAGGAAAAAGAACCCCTTAGCTTCAGAATACTACATGCCATCATACATCTTCACTTTTCGACAATTGCAAAAGTTTGAGTTTCGCGTTGCATGAGCGTGGTCGACCACATATCCATATGGGTAGACTGTATAAGACAACACTAACAACGTCATCATCGAAGCGCACTTCTTTTTTTCTCGCGTAGCAGACCCTTGCAACCTCGCTTGAAAATCCTTTGCATATGCGGGAAGCGACTAACGTCGATCACCACATGGCTGGATGGACCAAGCTTGGCGGGCAGGACTCCGACAAGGTCATGCTTCTGCCACGCCGTCAGCTATACGGTGGATACCTGTGGTCAGCTGAAATGTACAGTAATCGCTAACCCTTTGAGATGTTGAAAGGAACACTCTTTTCGTGAGACGGGGTAATCAGGGGAGATTCTTTGTGAGTGATTCTGACTTGACTGTTAGCGCTGGCTGGCGGGACCAAGTCAACAATGCCTTCTTGCCTCTATGTACTGTGCCTCTCGAATCTATCTGTCGTTTATTTATATGCGAAATACTGCAACGAGTTCAGATGTTTCTAGGTAACGCTGCCCTACCCCCAATCTTTACCTCCTGGCGCGCCAGTCAAAGCTGCTCTGTATGATCAGCCCCTTTTCCGAGTCCCTAGAATACTATCGACCATCGCTTATCGATTAATTCCAACGGCCCTAAAAAAAGACACTTTTTTGGTTTCAGCATGGTTGCCCGCCAATGAGGCTTCCATTCGGCAATATGCCGGCATCATCCCCGGAGATTCTGTCTCAGACTACGTATCCCAGGACTGACATGTCTATGCATTCTTTCCTCAGTAATCAAACACTACACAAAAGTAGGCCGCCCGCCATGCTCTGTCAACCAGCGCTTCGTCGAGCTGCTCCCCAACAGTCATTACCTCTTTTCTAGCTGCAGCTGGCTTAATACCTCTTAATATGCCTTTTATCTACAGTAATAGTAGTGACTCATCGAGTCCGGCTTCATCAGAGTCAAATCTCAGTTTTGAATATGATGATTCAGCTTCATCTTCCTCTTCGATATCATCGCCGGAGCCGTCAACACCACCACCTAAGCTGTCAACGACACCACCACAGTTACCACCTTTACAATATGAACCATCGACCCCACAGCCCGAATTACTGACCCCTCAATCTGCCCGGTCAAGCCTGAAGCCCAGCCTCAAATCGCCCGAATTGGCGCGTACATTGTCGCACTCTAAGTCATCACCAGCCATTGTACGATTTGCAGAACCACAACTGGTACCAAAGTTGGGATCCAAGTCGTCAGTGAAGCGGCGGACTATACAAACACCAGAATCCATAATCAAAAGAATACCGAGTCCGTTTCCGACACCCCAGTTTCATAATGGCCTCCCTTTCGCAAGTCCGACTGCGAGTTTGTTCAAACAGATCAACGGTTCTCAATACAACTCAGCACCTGCACCGCCTAATTTCAGCCGTCCGGGTTCCCTTCCAGCCTCTCATACTATGTCTATTCAAGCTATCAAAAGACGAATCAGTCACAAATCGCTCGTACAGACATCCTCTCAAGAGCCCGATCCAAGATGGGCGGAAATTCCGCTACCAGCACATTACCAGCCACCATCCCTTGGTCCAAAGTCTCGCGGAGTGTCTTCCGAGTTTTCAAAGTATAACACCTCCCGTTTTTCTACTCAATCGTCACCAGCCACCTTACAGACATCGGCATTCTTTACCGCTCCTTCAGGTCAATACAACCCACTCGAAAACTACATACCATGTCTATATCCTTCATGCAAGGCACATTACACGCCACTCCATCTAGGTCCATCATTTTACCTTGCAAGCGGCCCATACTTCTTATCTCATCTGCACGCGCATTGTCCTCGCCATGCAGTCCGCGAGCTCGAAGAAGCCAACGCAACCCTCAAGCACGCCTACGAGATGCTCCGCCAAAACGCAGGCCGCAAAACCCTCGGCACCGTCGCCGCCGAATTCGAAGAACTAAAAGAAGAATTCCGCGACGACCGCCGCATCCACAACGCCAAACTCATCCGAAAACAAAAACGCCGCGTCTTGGGCTGCCCATCTCAACCCACTTCCACTGCCAAGAACAATAGTACTAGCAGTACTAACGCTGACAAACCCCAACAACGACATCACGAAACATGGGACTGGCGCTACACCCCCCGCCCCTGCATCAGCGCAACCTGCAAAACCCACTACACCCCCTACTCCAACCACCTCTACACCTTCTACCGCACCCCTCTCCCGGGCACTTCTTTCTACCCCCAGCAAACCTTCTGCCCCCGCTGCGCAAAGAAAGACATCGACGACTTCGCTCTCAACGTCAAACAGAAATGGGGCAGTCGCTGTGGATGGGACCGCCTCGAATGGCTCGAGTGGTTGTGTGAGAAAGTTAAAGATCGAGCTATGGAGCAGGATTATTGGGTCAAGGCTCAAGAGAGGGTGGTCAAAGAGAAGGGGCCGGCGAGGTGGGTGGGGACTTTGAGGGATGAGGTTAGAATCGAGATGGAGAGGGTGGAGATGAGGAGGGAGAGGGGGAAGGGGGGGTTTAGGAGGTGGGTTGCTAGTATGGGGGTTTGATTGGAGGAGCGGCGAGAGGTATGTGTGGTGATGTTTGTTTCATCCCTTTTTTCCTCTTTTTCTTCTTTTTTTTCCCTCACACATGGTCGTATCACGACGTTCACTCGCTGCTTTTTTTTCTCGTATACGGATTTACACGACATTCACTTTTTCAGCTTTCCTTCTACGTATACAGTTTTTTTTTCACGACACTCGCTTTTCGTCTTTTCTTCCCTTCTTACCTATCCCGTATACAGTCTCTATACGACACTCGCTTTTCTTACTTTCTGGCACGTATATGGATCTACACGACACTCGTTTCTCTTTTATTTTCCTTTGTAAAAGCTCGTTTCCACCTTCGCTCAGTCATTTTGTTATGTAGTCACGTAGGGATGCGGAAAAGTTTCGCACTACTTTCAGTGATAAGATTAGATCATTGCAATATATGTTATGAGCTTACTACCTGGTACTTGGAGTATTTTTTGGGTGATCATACCACTATTGAACATATGAAAAAAATGACGAAAAGACACTCGGTGTGTGAAAGGATATGTAACGATAGATGACAGGCAAGACAAGTCCTTGAAAGTTTCTGGCATAATGATTGCACTATCGCATAACGATGAGCTTTACAAGAGACAATAAAGTTACAAGATAAAACTCCAAATCCAGCATATGTACACGAGATGCTATTGCAGGTCATGCCGATCCAGGGCTAATATTAAAGGAAAAGAAGAGGGAAGGAAACTCATAGCACTTCGTTAGTATAATCTTATTTCTGACTCTGTCATAGCAAAGTCGGGTCTATGTCAAGGTTGTCCGACTGCTTCTGGCCCATGAATTGTTCAAAGGGGTACTTTGAAACTTGCCTAGGCCATTCAACGTAATGCCGTAGGTGATGAGCGACGTTCCAGTATATACCCTCGATCCAGCTCAAGACAGCGGTCGGGGCGTTGACTCCTTGGAAGCCCACCCGCTCGAGATAGAGGATGGGTGTCAGGATGGCTTGGATGGCTATGAAGTGGGCGAGCAAGATCTGTGCGACGTTGTTGCCAGGGTCGATGAAGGCTTGAAATTGTTCATGTGTCCACCGCGATGGAATGTTGTATAGCGTAACAAAAGCGGTGTATGCGTCGATCGGTCTCTCGTATGCGTGGTTTACTACACTGGCGAGGTGCTCCCAATATGATCGTTCGCAGTCGGACATGTGGAGAGATTCGATTGAGCTGAGGGATACGGAGGCTAGGTCGAGATCTTCTGGGTTGACACAGGTCATTGGCGAGTTTTCAATGCGGTTACGTATTGTCTGAAGATGACTGTCTTCGCGGAACACCTAGTTTGCGTTAGAATGAGGCTGCAGCTGTGATCGGAGTAAGTACTACGTACGTGGAAAACCGAGTCCTCGTTCAGCGACATTTCGTCTCCTGCAATCAGATTGCAACCACGCACCATGGTGAGGAACTCTGCCATACCGTCTTGCAAATGGGTTGATTGGAACGCAAGAGCCAAGGCAGCCGCCATTCTAGCATCTCGCTCACATCGCGTCTTTGGGGGTACTGATAACGCCTCATTAAGCGACTTCACTGCTAGGATTCGGTGTTGTATAGCCTGCTCAGCAACACCGGAGCTTGTTACAGCATCTAGATGGGATGCAGATAGGGCCAGGATCGAATGGATGAGATACTCATACTGCGAGAATCAGCCTGCAAGCCTGGGATCTGGCAATGTATCGGCTTGGAGGATATTCTTCTTTCGAAACCTTACGAGGGATAACCTACGTTGTGTGCAAAGCTGGGAATTACAGTAACCCATATCTTGTCTTGCCCCACAGGTAGATGCGGGTATGCAGTGATGAGGAAATGGTGAAATAATCGCATATCTCCCATCGACTGTAGTTGTCAGGTACTTGCAAACTAACTCTAGGCTTAGGGAAGTGCTCACGAATACTCCTGGAGCGGACCGGAAGTTGCCTGCCTCCCGTGAGCCTGAGATAGCGTGGGACCGCTGAGTTGCCTGAATGATGTTGGCAGGATACTCGCATTGTAGCCCAGCTTTGAGGCAGTGACTACACTCAGGATGTCTCTCGTTGCACTTTATACGTCGTCGTTTACAACTGTAGCACCCACGGCGTGATTTAGTATGGCCCTTCCTTGGAATGGGCCTGCGGGGCAGTGGTGCTATACTCTCATTTCGACAGTCCGACAGCGTTGGCGAGTCGCTTGAAGAACTGTCCAGTACACTACCGCGATCTTGTGGAGACGACATGAGCAGTGAAGGCAAGAAGAAGGATTCCGTAGCCGCGGTCGCGGGTGTTGCTTCCCATGTGCCGATATATACTCTGTCCATCCACGACAAGCAATGGCCCTGACATGGGAGCACAAAATTTGGGGGCTTAGACAGGGAGCGCGAAGCGATCGACCCCGCGGGTGTGGTTGATGCACATTAATCAGGGGATGCCAGGTGTACGGCTGAACCCTAGCTGACTCACAGCCATGTACCGTAAAACTGACGTGTCGGACAAATAGAATGAGAAGCTTGGATAGTATTGTAACTATGATAGCGGTTGAATAGGTCTAGCAAGTGGGAGCTTAGTTACTAGTCGGCTCACCGGTATGCAGCCATAACCGTTAGATGGCTGTCGATGGCTTTGAGGGCTGTGTCCCCTTGGTGCATCATTTTTCTAGGCATGTATGCCTTGTGATCGTTCTAGGCAGACTTTGCGATGAAACATGGTCTTCAGTGGACTCCATCGCGACGTGTCTCGCTCATGACGGGCCGGTGCACACGCCGGGCCCGTTGCGATGGCGTCGCGATGCGGGAGATAACGGCTTCACACAGTTCCTGCTGCCTGCCGCTGTTGAACAGACTACTTCTGCATCACGAGATGAGGGCAAGCCTCGCCGAGATGAGGGACGTCGCCGATAGGTTGATCTGCCACTGGACCAGTCTGGCCACGCCGCCAGACTATCTTGGACAGCGCGTGGAACTTGGATTAGTATCGTCTTGAGTCTCCAAGGAGAAGTGTAAGTCTCGAGGAATTAATTATAGTTATAGCTGCATACGGTTGATCCAAGAGGCTTTCCAATGTACTGTGAATGGCGTGGAAGTGAAGAGAATGGATTTGGTAGGACATGCGAAGCATTTGTGTGGAACCAAGGTGAATGTTGTTATTGGCCAACCGTTGAAAATCTCGCGTAACCTTGTAGTCCCCGCATGCAGGCTTTAGGCTTCATCAGGCACAGGTGGTGTCCAAGCAACGGAGATGCCAAAACAGGAGGTGAGCTGAACGCAGCAGCAGCCGTGGGAGTGGCCTGCCAAGCCGCTAACGCAGCCAGCGAAGTGTCCAGCCGTCCAGCCGCTGTGAATTAGACCCTGCTCTCCGCCATTGGTCTTCTCCTCTATCCACCCACCACCCTGCACGTGCTCCCGCTCTCTGCTACTATATCGGTCTGTGGCACAGGATTGCATAGTTCCCAATCCCACGGTAAACTATGCCCGTCCTCGAGATCACCCAGCTCCGCCTAAGAGAGCTCTCAGCCGACGACCCGGCACTGCTTGAGAGCCTGTCGACCGTCCGAGCCGAACTACAGACCGGTTCCCACTTCTACAACTGCATCGACGATCCCAGCGTGATCTATATTTTAGGCACATGGCCAAGTCTCGATGCTCATATAGACTTCCTTGCCTCACCTTCCAAAGACCAGATTCTCGGCCCCCAAGAAAAGATGCTGCAGTTTTGTTGGACAGTTCATGTGGAACTTGGCGGCGTGAACTTGCTTCCACTGGATGCACCTATTTTAGCAATTGAAAGAATTAGTGTCTCAGAAGAGTCCACTCGGGGTTTTGGCGAGGCAGTCCACAGGCATGCGCAGCAGCTTCAAGGTAGCCATCCGTTTAAATTAGCACACGGCTGGCGATGTGATGCTGTGCCAAACCACCACGAGGCTATTATCTTTAGTGGATGGCAGACTCCACAAGCTCATGTCGCCTTTGCAGCCAAGAACAATCAAGACGGACAGTACAAGACGCTACAGATGACGTGTGCCAGGAATTTGGAGCGCAAGGTAGTACACTAAATATGGCCCAAGCTATTCTTCTTTCGCGCTCAGCCCCAAGTTTTTGCTACTAGGAGAAATCAAAGACTTGCCTACAAGACACTTGAAAACAGGTTCAGCTTCCAATTCACATCTGTGTCGTTAACCCCCTGTGAAGCTCGGGCACGGCTAATTTTCATAGGAGTCCCCGGTGAATCGGGTTCCGTACCCGACCAAACGTGACTTGCATCGGTGGCCCGTGGCCCGTGGCCCATCCGTAGGCCTTGCGAGAGGTTTCCATCTCGCAGCACATACTGGCTTTTCTTTCAAAATGAGGCCTTGTCGTTCATTGGATATGAGGTCTCGTGCACGGCATACCGGGACAACCCCTCCTCCCAATTACCGGTTCGTGCCTATTTAGGAAAATGGCCTTGGGATTGACACCCACGAGGGCTTCTGTAATATTCCAATCAATAAAATAAATGACTGCATAGGCTACGGTGATTTGGTCAGGTTTTATACAATGACATAAGCAATCGGTTGTGGGGTAGTACCCAAGCAATGCTGGGCATTCTCTAGGCCAGCGGCGTACGGAGCGGGACACCACGGGATCGCTCGTAGGGCTGGGCATAGTACGTAAGCTTGCAGCCTCACCCTGAAGGTAACTTCATGGCATATAGTAGTTGAGTAGTATCAATGTTTGTCTACTAGGTTTTCCATGTAGTTGAGGTTGCATTTCCAGTCTGTCGGTAACTTTACCCCGCCGTCAAAGCGGGCATCAACACCCAACCAAAGTGACGTCGCTGTTGAGTGCAATTTCCTAGGCTATTGATTAGAGCCAGGATACAGTAAAAGACTCTTCCGGTCCTTCCGCTGAATAAGTCTCGTGCGGCTTTAAGTTTTACTTTTTGACCAAGTTCAATACAATATCCCGTCTTTAGGGGTGAAGACACTCCTTCTTAAGTGACATAGAAGGGCTGTGCTGGTATAACTGCAGCTTCTGCAAGACGCCCATCATGCGTATTACCACCCACTTCTCAGTCTTAATCCAAATTATTACACTATCAACAGCGAGGGTACAGCGTCGACAAACTAATAGTACTGATGTGTTGAAATTTGTCGACCCATTGATTGGTTCTCGAGATGGAGGCAATGTCTTCGTTGGTGCGACTCTGCCATATGGCATGGCTAAAGGTATAGTATCTTTGAAGCTGCAATAATTAAGAGAAGCTCATAGCGAAACAGCCGTTGCGGACGTTGACGGGGCAAACACGGGAGGCTTCTCTACTGACGGAAGCAATGTGACTGGCTTCTCTGCCCTCCACGATTCTGGCACCGGAGGCTTTCCGAGCTTGGGGAACTTCCCCATTTTCCCACAGCTCTGCTCTGGAGACGACATTAACGATTGCAAATATCAAATTGCTGCACGCGCAACTCACTACAAAGGCGACTCGGTCAAAGCGCGACCAGGCTACTTTGGAGTGTCGCTAGAGAATGGTATATTTGCCGACATGACCGTCTCCGAGCATGCTGCTCTTTTTCGATTCGACTTTTCCAAGGCGTCCACAGGTAATTCGAGCTCAGGCCCACTGATCCTGCTCGACCTGACAGATCTTTCGGCGAGTCGGCAAAATGCTTCGATCAGTGTCGAGGCAACCGAGGGTGCTGAGAGTGGAAGAATAAAGGGAAATGGAACTTTTATTCCCAGCTTCGGATCATCGTCGTACAAGTCTTACTTTTGCCTGGATCTGTCTGGGGCAGCGGTCAGAGATTCTGGAGTCTGGGTCAATAGTCGAGCTGGTACAGAACCAAAGCAGCTTTTTGTCACGCGCGGCTTCAACTACTTCTATCTCGAGGCTGGAGGTTTCGTACGCTTCAAGGGACCGCTTTCGAGTCCCTTGTTTGCACGGATGGGATTGAGCTTTATCAGTACTGATCAGGCGTGCCAGAATGCTGAGCGCGAAATACCCAACCCTAACATTGACTTTGATCGGTTAGTCAAATCAGCCGAAGACGCATGGCGAGAAAAACTGTCTCCGATCTCGATAGAAGCAGGAGACGTGGACCAAAGTTTTCTGGTAAACTTCTGGAGTGCAGCATACCGGACAATGATATCTCCCCAGAACTACACGGGCGAGAACCCGCGTTGGCAGAGTACCGAGCCATACTACGATTCCTTCTACTGCATTTGGGATCTCTGGCGAGCTCAACTCCCTTTTCTCTCAATTCTAGATCCAGGAATGATCTCTGTATTTCTCAGGAGTCTACTGGATACGTACAAGCATCGCGGCTGGCTCCCAGACTGCATGATGAGCACCTGCAGCGGCTGGACACAAGGCGGCTCCAACGCAGACAACGTCCTCGTAGACGCCTACGTCAAGAATATCACCACTGGCATAAACTGGGACCTTGCCTACGAAGCCATCGTCAACGACGCCGAAAACGAGCCGCTGGAATGGAGCTTCCACGGCCGTGGCGGCTTGACCAGCTGGAAAAGACTAAATTACATCCCAGCCCTCGACTTCGACCCCGTCGGCTTCGGCACAAACTCCCGCAGCGTATCCCGCACTCTGGAATACGCCTACAACGACTACAATCTCGCCGTCCTCGCCCGCAGCCTAGGCAAAGACACAGCACCGAAATACTTTTCCCGTGCAACGAACTGGAAGAACCTCTTCAAAGCCGACCAGACATCTTCTGTCAACGGCACAGATACTGGTTTCGTAGGCTACTTCCAGCCCAGATATCTCAACGGCTCATTCGGCTTCCAAGACCCCATTGCATGTAGTCCGCTGACGGGATTCTGCTCCCTAACGAGCAATGCGGCTGAGACATTCGAAAGTAGTCTTTGGGAGTACATGTTTTTTGTGCCGCATGACATCGGTCAGGCGATTGAGTTGATGGGCGGTGATGAAAAGTTTATTAGTCGGTTGAATTTCTTCCATACATCCGGGTTGGCGGATATAGGGAATGAACCGGTTTTCCTGACGGTTTCCTTGCCGCATTATGCGGGGAGGCCGGCGTTGTCGGCTGAGCGGGCGCATTATTGTATGTCTTCTTTCCTTGACGCAAGTGCTGTATTTTACTAACGCTTTGGATCTAGATATCCCGTCTCGGTTCAACACCTCCCCAGGAGGCCTCCCAGGTAACGACGACAGTGGCTCCATGGCTAGCTTCACGCTTTTCCACATGATGGGCCTCTTCCCGAACCCGGGTCAAAACGTATATTTCATCACTCCTCCTTTCCTCCCCTCAGTCTCCGTGACGAACAAGTTGACTAATGCGACGGCCACCATTCGCAACATGAACTTCGATGCGCAGTACAAGAACATCTACATTCAGAGTGCGAAGCTAGATGGTAAGGAGTATACTAAGAATTGGATCGGACACGAATTTTTCACCAAAGGAGGGACGCTGGAGTTGGTGCTGGGGGACAAGGAAAGTAAATGGGGCACGAGCAAGGAAGATAGGCCGCCGAGTATGTCTGATGGCGATGGCGCAGCAGTTGGTACGGAATTGAAGTTTACAGTGTAGAAAGTCGGGAAACTTGAAATGGTTCTGCCATGGAAACAATGCGACGTACCACATTCGTACGTCATACATACCGAGTCCACAAAAAACCCCCGTTGAACCCACACCCTGCACCCTTGCCATTCCTTCAATCCACCAGACCCGTCTCCAACAACTGTCATACTCACCAACCCACCCACCCCCCATCCATCCTTCCCAGCCGAACGACCCGCCCACCAATCGGTCATCCCCACCCATGACCTCACCACCTCCCAAAAAGCAAAGAAAAAACCGCCCTGCATGACCCTTCCCCCTTCCCAACCTCCCAGGGTCTCCCTTCCCTTAGCATACCCACACACCCAGACACACGCCCAAGCCGGATCGACAGGGAAAACCCACTAGAATAAACCTGCAGGGACTTGCTCTTGCATCACCTGAATCATGGTAATGGGTAAGTAATAGCCGCCCCGCCCCTCCCCCCAAAGAAAAAGAAAAAGAAAGGTACCATCCGTAACGCGTCGGTGGAGACCCGAGATCTTCACTGCAGGGCCTTCTGCCCTCGAGAGAGAAAAAAGCAAGGTCACAAAACGCGTAAACAAATACAGGTACTCGAATACAATGCACGCGAAGGTAGAAGGGAAGGGTAGGTAGGTAGGTAGGTCGCGCAATGGTGACCAAGGTAAACCAAAATCTATTATTTTCTTCGTCTTTGTTCCTTATTTCTTGTGTGTATTCGAAACACACCTCTTATGCCGCGCTGTACTAACCATACCACGTACGTTTCGATTTAGATGGAAAAGAAAGGGGGGAGGGGTGATCCTAGAAATAATTATCCCATGCATAAACTTTGCTTAAACAGAGGAAACTTAATAAATGAAAAAATAGTACAAAAGAATATTAGTACAGTTATACAAGGTGGATATTTTTTTTCTCATGTGTATAACATGTGATGAAGAGGTGGCGATCCAAAAGGGTTAACATATGAAAAGCTGTTGTATATTCTACTACTCAAGTGTAGTATGTATGCAACAGTTCAAGAGAAAGAGAGAAGAAAAAAAGTTTAGTTCCAATATTACTTGGAAAAAGACCCAAAACGCCGGATCCCCTTTCACCCCATAATACAAACCCCAATGCATTGGTTTGAATGGTATCGCCTTGATTGACTCCGACCCTGGTTACGCCGGATCCCGGAAAGGGGACCAAATAAAAAAGACAAATCATTTTAGCGGGAATGGTCTTCGACCTTGATTCCATGAAGCCCCCTTGTTAAACGCCAGAAGATGCAAGAGAAAGAGTGTCATGTAGCACAGGACATGTGTGTATGTGGTCATGCGAGAGCGACAGCCTTGACGGTGACGCTGGATGTGATGGAGGCTGGCGGCGTGGGTGGTGCAATATCCATCTCAGGCGTGACCCAACCCTGCTGACGTGCAACCCACATGACGAGGTTGATGTCAAAGTTCTCGAAAAAGACTTCATCGAGAAAACGGGCCTTGGCGCCGGCGTAGGTGTGGTATTCCTCGCGGATGACGTCAGGGTCGAGGCCTAGCACTCTCCGGAAGCAAGCGATGGTGCATCCAGTGCGGTGCTTTCCCTTGTTGCAATGTACAAGGATGGGATGGTTTGAGCGATCCATGATGAGACGGAGAGCCCGTGCCATTTCGCACGACTCGACGCGGACTTCGCCCTTATTGGCGCGTATATGGACGTGGAAGTGCTGTATGCCAGCATCTTTCATGAAGGTCTGGTACTCAGGCGTGAGGGGCTCCGGCACGAGAGTCAAGATTGTCTTGATACCAACGTCCTTGATGAAGCCGTAGTTCTTCTCCTGCGGGTATCCACTGCGGTAGATGCACCCGGGCAGAACCGCACCGTAATTTATGGGGGGAACCAGGGGCTGTAGGCGTTCAGGGGATGAATGGATGGAGAGAGTCGGGGTGATGGTGCCGTGCGAGTCTGCAGTGCAATTCGAGGAGCATTCGTGGTCGCGTGGGTTTAGGACATCTCTCAGGTCCTCATGCGTATTCTCGGTAGCATGGTAAATGAGCCCGTCGCTCGCAGAGAGACCCAGGGAGCGGACAAACTCCCTGATCCTGTCGTAGACGTTGTCTTCGTCGTTTTGGTCGCGATAGTGGCGAAGGCCAAGGGCTGGGGCCAGGGCCGAGCCATCTCCATCTGATATGGACATTATGGGGTAGTATGGGGTTGATGGTCTTCTGGGGATAATGGGGCTGCGTCGAGCCTTTTAGCGACAAGCTCAGCTTGTGCCTCGGCGCGCTCCCGATGCTGCGTTTCTAGTAGATGGGGAGGTCGCTAGCGGCAGGCGTGGTGTGAGAATGGTGCGGTTATGTGCGTAAAGAGTTACGGGAGATAGTATCGGTAGAGTATGGGGAAAGAAGCCAGCGCGGACAGCCTTTTTAGACGCGTTAGTTACTGTGGGAAATGGAGTTTCGGGAGGTGACGATATGCAGATCTATGGTTGCGGGTGGTGCGAACCAAGCTTTGGAGGTCTTGGGGGCGAATTCAAGGGCGTTTGATCCCAATACAGTGGACAGGGTGACTTACTTCGCGGTTATGGGCCTGTTACAGGACACATGTTGACGGCGTCTTGCGGGGATGCGAGGCGGCGGCGAAGTTCATGGCGAGCAGGTGTTGCAATTAGAAGGTAGGACAAGGTGGTAGGGGGGGGCGTGCACCGAGGGGGGAGGGGATATTTGTGCACAGATGCCTGGGGAGGCGGTAGCGACAAGGACGTCAGCCGTAGTTCACGGATCCGTGGAAAAGTAGTGTGATTATAATGGGCGTGGGTTTGGTGTTGTGGAAAGTCTCGGGTGCTTCTAGTGCGCCTTGAACAGTTCGAGTAAGAGCAAGCGGATTTGGTCCGCTTGTGTGAGCGCGGAATATTATTAAAGGGTCCACCAGGCCTCGCAGAGTGCATATGTACGTCACTCGACGCTCTTTTTTTTCCTGGCTTGCCCGTGTGATTGGCGCTGGAGTAAGCAGGAACACTGCGGGTGGTGAATAATTGCAGGGTAATACTTGATGACAACGTATGTGCCACTACTACATGTCTTTGTGTATGGATTATTACGCCCCCCCGCAAGCCCTGTGTGCCAAACCCAGCGCCTCACGTCCCAGGGCCCCCCGCCCATGGGCTGGAAGGCTGGCTAGTCCAAAGACAGGCCCTTGGCAGTCTGGCTATGCTCCCATTCCAAGGTTGCTGCTCCGCCGCATAGCTCGGACTTGGGCGGCGCGTCTCAACACCGTCTCGGCCTCGGGCTCGAGCCATGTCTGATACTTTTCCTATCGCCGTTGGCTCCGTCATCGCTCCACAAAGGCCACATGGAGCAGTGGGTAGTGGGTAGTGGCGTGTTGGTATGCTTAAGCGTATGCCTAGGTCTACTTACTTTCCCTCCCAGGTGGTGGGTCTATCGGCACACAGCAGCCGCCTAATATTACTCGAACGGTATCGAATCTTCACTTGCCAACACCAACTGCCGGCTGCAACATGATTACTTTTGCCTCTCTCGGCGTTTACATGCCACAACTTCACTATATCCATGGCAATCAGACCTCACAAAAAGGCCGTCGTAGTTCCAGGCCTGGTGCATGGCTCTCAAGTACGTAGATCTCTATGAGCCTACTGCGTACAGAGTATGCGAGGCAGGTACTGCGACGGCTATGGGCCTGTATAGCTAGCCACCTGCGCGTGCATGTCGATCATCAACTTCGGCGGCTTTGCCTCGACATCGCCTTCGCGTGTTGCTTTGGCGTCGTTTTCTCCTTCTGTGCTTTCACGTGCAAAATCTCATCGATCGCCCGCTAGACCGCAAACGAACTAAATCTCCCATCCCCAGAGTCTGTGCGCACCATTGTCGAACCTCGGTCACTCCATCATCACGGCACACAATTTGGCGTCCTGGGAGATATATGGACAGGCGACGTCGTAACCGCGCCCTCTGATCCTCACGTATCATGGAACCCCCACGCTCAACCTCGCGATCGCGCCGGTCTTACCCGAACCTCCACAATCTCTCCATAGCCCCGCTCAGCGCCAAATACCCACTCGATGCATCTGTTCCACCATCGCCCGACGAGCCGGGAACCCAGACACCTCGCACATCCTACATAGCCCAGAAATCGGCTCCCGCCACGCCAGGCGTGTTGAGCCTCAGCCAAACCCGAAGCAGCTCGAGACAGAACACCCGAAAGGCCTACGCATACGACAGCTACTTCGCCGACACCAATTCGGAGATCCGAGCCGCTGGCGATATACCAAAAGCCAAGAGCACAAGCGTATTGCATCCTGGAGTCAGCTTTACAGATGAAGTCGCGAGCGTGACGGAAGCAAGCAAGCCGCGGCATCACACCAGAAAAGGCACCGCGCCGGTCCCTCTCTTCTCACCCCCCATCAAACACCACACCAAAGAATCAAACCACGAATGGCTCCACCGCGCCGGCCTCGCCATAGCCGGCGAAACAAGAGATAGCAAAGGCCAAAGCTGGCTCGTCCGCCGCGAAAGCTCCACAAGCCTCGTCGGCCAAGACGCCGAATACAATCCTGATGCCCCCCACGATAACAACCACCACCACCACCACATGGTTCTTTTATCCGGGGAGCATGTCAATGAAGCAGACTACCCGTCCTTCTTCTCCCCCCGCATGTCGCGCGCCGGCAGCCGCTTCCCCAGCCGCATGGGCTCGCGCGTCCCCAGCGCGCGCCCCAGTCGCCGCGGCA